AAGCAGTAAGGCAGAATGCCGGGCATTATGCTATTGCACCTCTTTACGACGTAATGTTTGTACTAAAGCTGTCATGATTTTCAAAATTGAAATAGTGATTTAGTGTTCTGGCTTATTCCCAAAATTCTTTGTCACAACATTATTTATTTAAAAGCCAAATCAATTATTACCATTATAAAGCACTGGGTATTTATTTGTGCATGATGGGGAAGGGCACTGCTATGACCAAATGCTCCCTGAGATTTATGAAGCTGCATAATTACCAAATCAAATACTAATTAGCAGAGTTAATTGTTTTGATAGCTCATTTTCAGCTTTGGTGGGGGACTAAAAGGTCTTTCTGTTAACCTCCTTTGGCCCTGCATTAAATTCAAAAGCGGTTTTATGTGTGTGGACAAAAAAAGGAAGCCAGTCCCCTCACAAATTTGTTTATAAGACACCCATGGATACATTTTCAAAGTGATATTTAGGAACTCATCAACAAAACTCCCATCAGAGCCAGTACAAGTCACATACAACCCCTTCCCCTGCCACTGTGTCCTACTTTTAAAAACATGCCCCCATTGCTGAAGAAAGTGCAATTGAAAAACAAAATCCCTTTGGTGGAAGGTGCAATGCTTTAAAGAAATCACAGCTATGTAGACCCTTTTGCAAAATCATTTATTAAGTGTTACTCAGTGTGTACAAATGAGTTAATGACTAGAAACAGAGCTCAAAACATGTGCTTATTTACAATGACATTTTTATAGGACTGCAGTCAGGGAATGTTTATTGCCATTTACCAAAGGGGGGTGGGGTGGAGAGAATAAGAAAGATTGCATAAACAAAAGAACTTTTCCAGTCCCTTTCAAAGGATGGGGCCTATTGCAGTTTAAAATCAAGTCCATATTGTACACCCCGCTAAACCTGAGAGGGATCATAGATAATGAAAGATTTAGTGGAGAGGTTTCGTTATTCCAAATTTACTTAGTTCATGTTAGTCATATGTCAACCACCATTATGTTCACACTCTCAGGGAGTTTAAAAAGTAGTCGTATGGCACACCTCAACTATTCCGATGGCTGGTTCAAGGATGGAATGATTATTTCAAGCTGCAGGTATGATACTAGGATTAATAAAAAGCAAAAGACAAAGATCCCATTAAGAGACATGTGCATGCAAGCAATAGTATCAGCTTATGTGTATCATCAGCACACACCTGACTATGGGACATTTTCAGAGTGGTGTAGTTTGGTGGAACAATTCACCTGTTGGGAAGCTATACATAAAGTTCCCCATCCAGTGTCAAAATCTGCACATGCAGCTGCGAGCACCAGCTTCATCAGTCTGTATCAACATCATGCCCACAGTACTCTTTTGAACATGCAGCTCCTGATTCAACAGAGCATGCACACACACATGAACCCAGCAGGATTTTATGCACACTTTGACACACAAACACTGCGTTTATTTCTGAGAGGTATGTCCAATTCTTTCCAACCCTCTTATTTCTTAAGCAGAACAAATTTCATTCATTTATTGTTTGGAAAATAATATTTCAAAGAGCATATTTCAGTAGCTGTGACTAAAATGAAGATGTTAATATCTACAACATATTGTAGATATATGACATTTATTTACAGAGGAATGGCGACTGAGATGATAAGGAGTCTGGAAAGCAAGCCTTATGAGGAATGGTTGAGGAAGTTGGGTATGTTTAGCCTGGATTAGATAATACTGAGAAGAGATATGTTAGCCATCTTTGAATATCTAAATGGATGTCACATGGAAATTGGAGCAAGCTTGTTTTCTCCTGCTCTGGAGGGTAGGACTCAAACCAATCACAGAATCATAGAATTGTAGAGTTGGAAGGGATGCCAACTGTTATCTCGTCCGACCAGATGACCATCTAACCTCTGCTTAAAAACCTCCAATGAAGGAGAGTCCACCACCTCCTGAGGGAGGTAGTAACAAGAAGGAAGATTCTGACTAAACATCAGGAAGACCTTTCTGCTGGTAAGAGCTGTTCATCAGTGGAACAAACTGCGAAGGTGGTGGACTCATCTTCCTTGTAGGGTTGTAATCAAAGGCTGGATGGCCATCTGTCTTGGGTGCTTTAGTTGAGATTCCTGCGTCGCAGGGGGTTGGACTAGATGACCCTCAGGGTCCCTTCCAACTCAGCAAGTCTATGATTCTATTTCATGCAAATCGTTGCATCTTACCTCTGATTATTTCTGTTTATATGTTTTCCAGGCTTTTCCTTGCCCCCCCCTTTTACTTGCAATTTAATCTATTGATTCTCTTCTATAAACTAGAACTTTATAAATAAAGCACCAGCAGAATATTTGCACCACCCCATATACTCAGTGACAACAACTGTCAGGAATTAGCAACGGAATTTGATGAGGGTGCATCATAATGTTAATGAAACCTCACGTTCTCTTTGCTGCTTTTTCAACAGGCAGTGCCATCTAGTGGTACTATGTCTCATTTGGGCTGATTGACAAAACATAGCAAGTCTGCCTGATCATATATATATGATCTGCTAAACAGACACCCATTAGATTACTCATCTTGAAAACAGCCACACACAAACTGAGGAGGCTACCATAGCAGTGTGGGAGCTGCTCTTTTATGGTCAGTTCATTTAAACGAACAAACAATATGTTCATCCACATGATGGCCTCAGCTTTCCTCCCTCTCCTCTGAGCCAGGGGCCAATTCCATGCTCAGAACGCACGCAACTGGGCCCTGTGCATTCACCATTTCAAGAGATGTGATGGCAACCCCAGGCAAAGCACTTTCCCACATAAGAGTCCCATGTGCTCTCAATCATGTATAAGTATGCTTAGCACATGAGTAATCCCATTCTAGGGACATCAAAGGTGATGGCTGTCCTCTGTCTCTACGGCTGGAAGCAGTAATGCTTCTGAATACCAGTTGCTGGAAACCACAGGAGAGGAGAGTGTTGTTGTGCTCGGATCCAGCTTGTGGGCTGAACACAGGCATCTGAATGGTCACTGTGAGAACAGGATGCCGGCGTGGATGAGCCATTGGCCCGATCCAGCAGGCTCTTCTTATGTTCTTATTCATATACAGTGTTAGCAGCATGTTTTAATAAGCCACTGTTCGCTGACATCTACATGCAAATGATAAGTGCATCTATGAGACAGAGGATGCGTGGAATGTATACCTGCAAGCATTACATCAGTTTCAAACTGAACCATACCCCACCCACAGACACTCACAGAAAAGTGACTTCCATGGAGAAAGGGGAATGCAAGACATAGTTAAAAATAGAAACTGATATAAACCAGTTGGCTTTCCTTTCTTCCTTCAACCAAGGAACTTTGACGTAAGAGGGCTGATTTCACAGAATAGGTGACTAGAAATAATTCCTTCCTTGAGACCTGCAGTTTGAAATAAGTGTTCCATTATTCTCCTTTTAGGTTCCCTTTTCTTAATTTGACAGGTGTTGGCCTTATTAGAAGGACATTTGGTCCACTGGTGGCATCCAAGGATGGGCAAAATGCACCTCTCCCACAGCTTACTCAAATGGGATCCAAGCCAATGTTCGTCAACTTGGAGATGAAATCCCCCCTTTCCTGTGAAGAAACCCCCTTGATAATGAAGTTGGTCTCTTCTACTACCATCTGTGCCTGGCAAAAAATTTGCAACACTTCACCTCAAAGGGATGTTATGAATATAAATACAATAAGGATTGTAAGATACTTTGATCAAGTTGTCCAAAGAAGTAAGTTGGATAGTGTTTGAATAAAGATGTGGAATGAGTTTTTGATTGCATTTTATTTCTTCCAGATGTGTGGATTTTATGCTGGCCAACTGGGATACTGGGTTTTTTTAAAATTCAGAACTTTCCCCATTACATAAAAACTCCATATTTATCTTAGTCAACCGTTTTTTTGTATTTTCTGAAGCTCACCCACTCCAAAAGAGGAATCACATCTTCTTTAATATGTTTGGAGCAAAATAGACACTAAGCTTGGTGTAAAGGAATGTGACTTATACAGTGCAATCCTATGAATGTTTAGGTTTATTCCCAGGGAAGTTTGCATCTGATGGCAGCTGAATATTCAGAAGTTGACTCCACACATGCAATGCAAAAACTCTATATACCTAAAAATAAAATACATTCTAGAATGAAAGTATAACCTTCCATGCCTTTCTCACTACATGTTGCATTACTGTACCACAATTTTGGGATCTTTGTTTGGCAGTGTCCTGCCTAGGACTTACCAGCCAAAATAAACATTGAAGAGCTGTTTATCTCCTCTGATTGGTTTTTTTGGTTTTTTTCTTTGTTTTTTATTTTCCTGCTAAGTAGAATGTCAATTACAGCAGGGTGGGCATACTTTAATTCTTGTGGGATCTACTTTTTTATTTTTACTAGAATGCTGAAATCAACCAACTGGTAAAAAGGTAAAGGTAAGGGGACGCCTGACCATTAGGTCCATTCGCAGATGACTTGGTTGCATGCTCATCTCGCTCTATAGCCCCAGGGAGCCGATGTTTGTCCACAGACAGCTTCCAGGTCACGTGGCCAGCATGACTAAGCCGCTTCTGGCAAACCAGAGCAGCGCATGGAAACACTGTTTACCTTCCTGCTAGAGCAGTACCTATTTATCTACTTGCACTTTGTCATGCATAGAACTGCTAGGGGGGCAGGAGCTGGGACCGAACAATGGGAGCTCACCCCGTTATGGGGATTTGAACTGCCAACCTTCCAATGGCAAGCCCTAGGCGCAGTGATTTAGACCACAGCGCCACCCATGTCCCAACTGGAGTCTAGTGCAAAACAGCTGTTTAAGGGATAGAAACAGAATTAAGAAACAGGACATTGCTAGTGATGGGACAAAGCCCCCCACCCCCCAAAATTGGCACCCCATTTATAGGCAGTGAAAATGCAGGAAAGCATTTCATCACTTTTCCGGAGGTTAATCTTTGGGAACATTTCTGTGAGGGATATTTATTTATTTCTAATCTTTTTTTTTTAGAATTAAAAAAAACCATTTATACCCCACCTTTCCTTCAGGTTTATTGATCATGGTGGGACAGCAGTGGAACTGATGGCTGATCTTGACTTTGGTGGGGAAGCAGTGCCAGAGCTCTTCCCAACAGCCTTCAGCCACCAGCCACCATCTTCTCTTCCCTGCACGACCCTAGGATTCATTATGAAGAACTGTATTGTTCTAAGGGGCCTTCTGGGATCAAATGTAATGACTAGTTGGGGTTGCCATTTTGTATCCCCAGAAGCTTCCTCAAAATGATAGGATGTAGCACAATTCCAGGGCATTCCAAGGGAGAAAGATGGCAGCCACTATGAAAAGCTCTACTGCTGTCACTGCCTTGGGTAGTTGAAGAAATAAACGGAAACCAACCAACCAAATACAAACACCACCACTGTCCCTCTGTCAGTGGTCAGGCCCCCCCCTCCCGTCACCTGCCAACTCTTTAAAGGACAAATGTTCCTCTTCAAGTCCCACAGTTATGGGCACCACTTGCCCTTCTCTCCAATGTGAAGCTGACCATTTGACAACTCAACTTTTTGACCTCCCCTGAGCGCATCTTCTGCCCAAGTATCTAAGCTGAGCTCACAGTTCCTCTTCATGAAAATCTATTTCTGGGCTTCTTGCCAAGCTCCCCTTTCAGCAGCCTAACTTAAAAGCAAAGAAAGCCTTTCCACTGTTATGACTGTTAAACCATTGAGAATCAGAGGGCCATGATCATCACCAGTAGGTCTGGAGTGGGGAAGTTCAGGTCCAGAGGACCAAATGTGCATCTCCTCCCAGACCTTTCTCTTCAACCCTGGTGACCCTTGCCACTTCGCTCCCCCTCCCTACACCACACCTCTATTCAGATCTGCTGCGCACTCTTCTCAGGTGCTTTGCCCTGTCCAGTTGTGCCCTTGGACAGCCATAATGCCTCTTGCTTGCCTGGATGGAAGATGGAGAGAAGTGTGTGCATGTAAACATTTCCAATGAGCTTTCCAGTTTTTCAGGGAAGGGGTGCAACTCTGGTAGAGCATCTGCTTTGCATGCAGAAGCTTCCAGGTTCAAACCCTGAATTGTCTAGGTAGCCCTAGATATCTCCCGTCTGAACCCTGGAGAGCCACTGTCAGTCAGTGTGGTCTGTACTGATGTAGATGGTCCAAGAGTCCAGCATGGTAGAAGGCAACTTATTACGTTCCTGTCTGGGACTGTACCCCATACTCACATTTCTGAAAAAAATGTGTTGGGTCTTCATTTATGGGAGAAATGATGAAAAGGAGCAAGCATAGGCTGTCAGTGATCACTCCAGTTAATTTTGTTCCTATGAGGAGCAGCAGCTGCATATTGCTATCAGACATTTGGCATTTTTAGAGCTAAAAAGGCAGCTGTAGTGGAAACACCCCAGAAAAACACATCCATTTGCCTGCTTAACTTCAGCACTTAAACCATCATACGGGTCAGCCTCAAGAAAAATGAATGACATCAGTCAAAACACTAGGATATGCATATCTTTCTGCAGTGATTATCTCCGTGTAGTACAAAAATTTAAAATAATTTGTGCTTTGAAAAATGTGATGATTGATTGGCTTCCATTAAGCCAGGGTTTTAAAAACATACCATGAACTCTTAGATAAAACGGCACTAAAATGTTAATGCAATGGCCAAATGAATCATATCTGGCTATGGTGCATATAACTACTTTAAAACATTATAGATACAACCCTTTGTGTATAATAAAAAAGCAAAGAATGTAATCACTGGAGGAACATTTTTAATGCTTTTACATTACACCCACCCACATCTCACATTCTTGTTTGTTATCTATCCTTATTATGAAACCCTTGAAATTCGCACTTCTACCAAACACGTAAGTGTTGTTCTAACACAACTGCATTGAGGGAAGTATTCATTTTTCATGTTTATAGGAAGCGTTCTTAGAATCATGGAATTGTAGAGTTGGAAGGGACCCTGAGAATCATCTAGTCCAACCCTCTGTATTGCAGGAATATGCAGCTGTACCATACAGGGATCAAACCTGCAACCTAGATCACAACTATAGAGTGCTTCAGGGCTTTGCAAAATGGCAGTATCAGCAGAGACTTTTCCCATAAAGGGAAAAGTAGGAACAGAAACTCTGCTGCCTAAGTATTTTATGGATATTTCTTGATCAAGATGCTGATTCAAGCAGTTCTTTATGGACAAAGCTCAGCAAACAGGTGGAGAAAACAAGTTAATACCCACATTACCTTGACCGTGTGACATTCTTCCAACTGCACTACACATAGTCACCTGAAATGCACCTGCTCGCTTAATGACCTTCCCAGTTGCCTCTCTTCTGGCCTCTGTGCATTGTGTGCCTTTTCAAAATACTTAGATGGTCCACCTCGATTCCTTCAAAATCCCTCCTCAACGCCAACACTTCTGGGAAGCCTTGGACTTAATCCCATTTTAAGACAAAATCAGAGCCCTCAGGTGCTTACCTGAAAGCAAATGGACTAAAAATGGGGAGTGGAGCAGGAACTGTCTTTTGCTGAGGGACCTTGTTTGTTTATGAAAAAGCTTACGAAACAGATGATGGCATGGCAGTAAGTAATGCACAGTGGCAGGAGACCCTGAGTTGTAGTCATGGTGTGAGGTAGTGGTGTCATCACTAGGACCCAATCCAAACTAAAATGAGAAGCCTAGATTGTTTTCCTTGAGATCATTAAACCATTACTTATGACTTACATTTGGAAGCGATTTTGCAGGGCCTGCTCACCCCAAGGAGTGACCCAGAGACCCACATAACTCCAGCACTGTCGGAAATGCCACATAATGTTTGCTCCATGCTTGCAAGGAATAAGTCCTCCATTGTGGCATCACCCACACACTGGAGCTCCCTTACTATTGATATTAGGCAGGAACCTTCAATGTGTTATTTTTGGCACCTGCTAAAAAATTGTTTTGTTTAGGTAAGCCTGTCCGGACATGTACATTTATTTTATTACACATTTTCTTTTTAAAAAAACCCTGCTGATTTTATTCAAAGTTTGAATATTTTGGGTCAATTTTGTTTTCAACATCTGATTTCCCCCCCAGTATTTTAATTTAAATTGTTTTATTTAAACTGCTTAGATGTTATGATGATTAAGCAGTGTATAAATCCTGTTAAATAAATAAAGTCAGGAAAGATTCATACTAAGTGAATACGTTTGTGCATGTGTGTGGCATGGATGTCAGAGAATTCTGATGGAAACTGGAGTGGAAACTGCTGATATTCATTTGTTCTTCCCACATCCAGCCAATACAACTGGTATTTAACTACTGTTGTTTTCGGTTGCAAATGTTGAGACACACGCTCACACACCCCACATTTGCATTACATTTCCTTGGCACTGAAATGCATGATGTGGAATAACATCATGATAATGTAACTGATTACATAAAATTCCACTGTGGTGAGCAGTGAGCCCAATAACTTCATTTTTGCCGCAAGTGAAACTGTAAAGGTAAAGGTAAAGGTACTCCTGCCCATACGGGCCAGTCGTGTCCGACTCTGGGGTTGCGTGCCCATCTTGCTTAAGAGGCCGGGGGCCAGCGCTTCCGGTTCACGTGGCCAGCGTGACAAGCTGCATCTGGCGAGCCAGCGCAGCACACGGAAACGCCATTTACCTTCCCGCTAGTAAGCGGTCCCTATTTATCTACTTGCATCCGGGGGTGCTTTCGAACTGCTAGGTTGGCAGGTGCTGGGACCGAGCAGCGGGAGCGCACCCCGCCACGGGGATTCGAACTGCCAACCTGACGATCGGCAAGTCCTAGGCGCTGAGGTTTTACCCACAGCGCCACCCGCGTCCCATAAGTGAAACTCTAGTGGCATGGAAACAGTGCTGCGTGTGATTCAGGAGTGCCAACTTGGCCTTGTGACTGTGGGTGCCTGGGACTGTGGTGCATGGCCCTGGCACCAAAATTTGTGGGTGCCTGGCCCCTTCATGGGGAATTTGTGGGTGCTCGGGCACCCAGAGCCCCAGGGAGTTGTCACCTATGATGTGATTAATTTGGGTCAGAATGGAAATCTATACCTTAGATAGAATCGAGTTTGCCTTCCCTTATACAGCAAGCATAGTTCTGGGCCATTGAAATTTCACCGTGTTGCTGTTCCCCTTAGCCTAGTTTGTCCTAGAAAAGAAGTCACGTTTTACTAGTGAAATTATTGTTTCCCCCTTTCCTGTAATGTAGCACTTAGGAGGTTACAGATTACCAAATTAAGTGGAAAGTGCTGTTTTCTGATCAGTTTCAATTCTCCATGCTGCGTGCGAAAGTATTAAAACTATGAAAGCTATTGACTTTTCAGGAAGGATAGTTGAGCACAAAGTAAAAGGATATGGAGTATTTCATGGCGATCTTTGACCATTAATAGAGCAGATCAGATGTTCAGGCCACCCACAAGTATATATATAGGCAACCTCTCAAGATATTAAGAACCAGCAACAAGAGACTTGAAGTAAAAAAGCAAAATGAAAACAAATGGTTTTCTGTGCCAATCTGTTGTGCACATGGGGGTGCTGTCCTCACCAGGTACCCTCAAAGCCAGAGTTCCAGTGTCCTGGCAGGACTCACCAAGGACACTTGCCTGGCTGGGCCCTCTGAAAAAGTTCTTATTGCAGAGATGAACATCCTTTTCCCCACTGAGGTCAACCTGCGGCAGTGGCTGAGTGTATACTACAAGAGTGCATACTACAAGTGGGCATGACATGAGTGTGCATGCAGTGTTAACACAAGCATGATCATCGTTTTTAAAGGCTTCCCTTGCTGGAATGAAGAAGGGAAGAACCCGCTTTGCCACAGCAGGGGAAGCCCTTTGAAAGTGGGGATCATGCCACAGACAACCAGAGCAATCTTGGCTTTCAAATCTTAACCAAAGTTGTGGACATGCACAAGCTCCCCTAGCAAATACTGTGCTATCATATGGAAACTCAGCATGTTGCAAAAAAAGTGTTCACCTCTGATGGTGGTGGTAATGACTGAACTAGCATTTTGCATCTTTAAGTAATCATCCCTCAAGGAGTCCTTAGAACTATGTGAACGCTGTATCCTTTATTGTTTTGCTGCAGCAGGCAGCATCTTAACTCTGCACAATGAGCCACTTCTGCTTGGAATTAGCAGAATACGTCCATAGATTACTATCAATAGCTTTATGAGGGTGATTATCAGCTCCAATTGTCTGCCAAGCAGCATTACCCTTAATGTTTCCATCCGCCTTGTCATTAAGCACATGTCAAACTCAAAGGAACAGTGGTAATTTTTTGCAATTAAGGTCCCCATTATTGTTTCCTTTACTTAAACAGGGAGTAAAAATTGCATGTTTTAAATGTAACCACAAGTTGCTCCCCACACACTTAGTTACCTTATCCAGCGGCAGAGATTTCTTTATACACTTAATTGACTAGGTTAAATCTGCTACTGAAGGACCTCTTGATAGCTAAAAGAATACATTGTCTTGCATCTGTCCTGCCAGAAAATGTTGTGCCCAGTTTGGTTGTAAATCTAAGTGAGCAGCTTGAAGCTTGGGAGTGCTTTCTTTAAAACACATTGAAAGGAGGGCAGGAGAATGGAAGAAACATTATTTTAGGTAAAAGAAATGCAATTATTAAACATTAGGGTTTTATTTGTGGAGCACTTTATTTGTCACATTAAGGCCTGCAGCTAGAGATAGAAGAAAAATTCAGATTGATTCAGATTTTAATGTGAGCCTACTTAATTCACACTTTTCAAAACAAAATGCAAACTGAAACACAGGTATCCTTCAAAGTTCTCTGTTCTCCTGAAAATCTATCAGAGGTTTAGTGCTCATTTCCATGCTAATTGTTTTCAGAAAGAAAAACCTTTTGCAACCTCATTATATCAGAACATCATGAGAGTTTTGTGTTACAATTTTGTATGATGAAATTTGGGGTATATATATATAACAGCATACAGTTCTTTTCTACTATTTGAAATTTAGTGTAACATGGAGGTAAAGGTAAAGGTAAAGGGACCCCTGACCGTTAGGTCCAGTTGTGAACGACTCTGGGGTTGCGGTACTATCTCGCTTTACTGGCCAAGGGAGCCGGCATACAGCTTCCGGGTCATGTGGCCAGCATGACTAAGCCATTTCTGGCGAACCAGAGCAGTGCATGGAAACACCGTTTACCTTTTCGCTGGAGCAGTACCTATTTATCTACTTGCACTTTGACGTGCTTTCGAACTGCTAGGTTGCCAGGAGCAGGGACCAAGCAACAGGAGCTCACCCCGTCGCAGGGATTTGAACCACTGACCTTCTGATCGGCAAGCCCTAGGCTCTGTGGTTTCACCAACAGCGCCACCCAATATGGAGGTATATTGGTCAAAAAGCCGCAGTTCCATAATGCAACAGGTACTGAAGTGCAAAAAGGACTTTAGAAATAAGAACAGAAGCACTAGGGTACATTTAGCTGTGGGGAATAGTGCGTTAATTTTCCTGACTATATCGCTTGTGCTTTTATGTTCCTCTTACACTGCAAACTGAATATGGTGGTTAGTGCTCATGCTTAATAATTAGTGTCTTATAGTAATGTGACTTTATGTATTATTTCCATCATTTCTGGTGATTACAGCCCTTCAGAAGTATTCTTGCACAATTACTAATGGTGTTTTATGGCTTTTTGAATAAAAATACCTCCCAAAGATTCCTCAACTTTGAATCTGCAAAATTTACAGATAACCTAGTTTCCAGCAAAGCAATATGAATTCTGTCACAACAGGAGGAAGTTCAGTCATGAGTCCCCCCCGACATTCATGTTCAAAGAGTGATGTGTCTTCTTTGCTTACATAAAGCTTGTCATCTCTCTCCTTGAACAAGGAATGTGAATTTCTTCAAGTAATGAAAAGAGTGCCTGGCTAAAGTGCTCCATAGAGTATCCCTTGGGTTTGACATTGTCATTGTTGCCTGTAATAAATTAGAGCTGTGCTTGAACCCAAAGACCAGCAAATTAACAGTTAATTAGGAGTTGATAAATAACAGTCACAGAGGACCTCTGATTTAGTCGGTTTGCAGTGGCACCCTCTCCCTCCTATCTTGAAACAGCAAGTGTTTATGTGCTTGTAACAAGTGCCTGAGTGGACGGCGGTGTGTCTGCATTTTGTCATGCCTCAGGATTGCTCTCACATGTTCACCTTCCACTCGACTTCTCTTAATACACTTACTCGACTCTGTCTGACAGAGCGGCTCTATCTGAACATTTTCCAAGATAAAGAAGCATGGTGACTGTTTAAAGGAATCACATCACTCTTCTCATGGGGAGGAGAGGTGGGGTAAATTATCTGCTGAGGCTCCTCCAGACAAACCAGTTTATTGAGCAACCATCCTGATTTGCTTGCTCAAAGCTCACATGGAAGGTTTGAAATGTCTGATCTTCATTTAAACATTGATCCTGAATTGTTTACAGGGAGGTTATATGTCTTCCTGTCAATCAATCATTATCACACACTTCTCGGTGCAACTCCCTGTCATTTTCCTAACTAAAACATTCAGTGTTTTCTTTTTAAGTGGATTTGTTGTTAAAAAGTAATTGCATACATTTCCAGTATGAGATTGAATCCTTCTTGCAAAATAGGGACAGTCTGGGGGCAACCCTGGTTTCCAGAAAAACACAAACCAAAGAGTAAACTGTGCTTAGGCTTGCAGCCAGACTTTCAGATACAGATCTGTTTGCTCTAAACTGAAAATCTCACTGCGTTCAACAGGTGCCATGTCTATCCTTAAATGAGCAGAGCACTTCAGCACTGCCATCAGCACTCACTAGCCTGTAGGATTCTTTGTACTATCACATGCTGAAAAGCTTTTGCGTGGACAGGCGGAGTCCCCAGATCCCGAGCGGTCCCCCCTGTCATGTGGAATAACGACTCAAGACAATGTGCTATGGGATTAAATTGGCCACAACTTTATTAAATTTCAAATGTGGGTAGACCTTGGCTCAGGCATTGGGCGTTCTCCCTCCCCAGTCCCCAGCCGGGGACCTAGGGAGCATCAGGGTTATCCAGTGTGTGTGTGGGGGATGGGCCGGCTCTGGAGAACATATGTTCAAGCAGAGATAGCCGCCCCCGTTACGCCGCCGCCGCAGGGGAGAGCAATGACGACCTTTCGGCGTACGGTCAAAGCCTCCCTTCAGAAACCCCTTTAATGGGGAACCCTGGTATCGCCGCTGCAAAGAGGAAGATGGACTAAAGGATTCCGCCCAAGGCCTGATACCGCCAAAGTTGTGACTTTTTGCTACGGGAAAGGCGAAACCTGCCAATGCAGGGAAATTCCTTTCCGGCCCTTTAACAGCAACCTTAACGTAGCAGCGCCCGCATACCTGTGAAGTAAAGTTAACCTGCAAAACCTGTGAAGAAAGGTTAACCTGCAAAATAAGACATTAACTGAGGGTGGGTAGGGTGGGAGAAGCTCTGGAGCCAAGTGAGGATTCCCAGGTAAGATCCTCCCTCTATTGTGTGGGCAGGTAATCCCTCCCCTACCTGGCCTGGTCTCCTTGGCAACGCTTCCCCAGGTGGGATTGGACAACTGACTGAGGTAGGCGGAGACCTCCAGGTATCCCACCTGAGGGAAGGCAAAGCCAAGCCTATGCTGATGGAGCCGCTCCAGATCTAGGGGCTGCGCGCGTCCACGCAAAGGGCGCCCCCCGTTTTAAGTGGGGAGCGGTCATTGTGGACTGAAGGCCAGGATGTGTGAAGCTGCAAGATAATAACTTCATAAGATGCTTTGAGACATTTTTCTTACTTTAGGGTAAGGGTAAGGTAAAGTCAATGTCCAATTTCCCTGCAGACAAATCAGGATGAATGCTCAATGAACAGGTCTGGAAGTGTGTGGTAAGCATGGATATATTTTTTGTCAGCTCACTTCCATCTCATCCCTCTTTCCATTCTCCCAATCTCCTCCTTCTGAAGGGTTCTTTGTGTAATTCTCTTTTTATTTTTTATTATACGGGGTTGTGCCCGTGTCTGAGTCCAGGGGGGCATCTGGGTGGTGAACATAGTCTGTTCCTGGCTTTTTGCCTACCCAGGTGTTCACCCTTGGCTGACCTATGCTGGTGCCCTGGGTCAGCGCTGCGTGCAAGGGTGCAGGGGGCTAGTCAAACCAGAGCCTATGCAACCACTCACCTTCTGTAATCAATAAAGTTGTGGCCTAAATTCTGCCAAAAACCAAAACTAAAATTTGAGTCATGTGTGAATTTATTTAGGGGGGAGGTCTCTGGGTCTGAACACCCAATAGGAAGAAAAGGGGGAAAGGGGGGGGAATGAGTGGGGGTGGGGTTGGGTGGCGATGTTTCTATTTTACTTAATATATGTGGGGTTTTGTGTCAGCGTTGCTTGTGCAGGTTCTCTGCTGTTCACTTGTGTTCCTTTGGTGGTGAGAGAGGTGGGGTTGACCTAGGGTGTGGTTGTTTATTTGTGGTTGGCTGTGGTGGTCTTTGTTTTCATGTGTGAATGGGGTGGGTGGGTGTTTTGGATCAGGTTAGCCACATTCATTTGTATGCTGTTGGTAGATTTTTGTCATTGTCTTGTTGGGCTGTGTATGTGATAAAAGGGAGCCATACCAGGGTGAAGGCATCTTCTTCTATTTGTCCCCATGTTAGTTTCAGTTTATTGGTTAATTTTTCTAGTAAAGCTGTTTCCCATACTATTTGGTACCATTGGTCCATGCTTACTGCTGACAGGTCTCTCCAGTGTCTGGCTATGATGTTTCTGGCTGCTGAAAGTTGCCCACGTACACCACAAAGGGGCCTTTTCAGTGATGGCTCTGAATGACCTCCCCACTGAGGTGTGTCCAGCCACATATTTGTTTTTCTAAAGCACTTAGAGGCTTTATTTACAATTAATGCAGCATAAAAATTCTGAAAACAAATCCAAATAAAATAATAAAATAAAATGTTTTCTTTTTGGAAATAAGCAAAGAAAAACCTTTCAGCAGGCTTTTGGATGAAGGTATCAGCGGCTGAATGAATTGATGCTGCTATTTATTATGAATTGCTTGTTATGAATTGTATGTGTATAACTGTTAAATTTGTATTTTTTGAATATTATGTTATGCATGAATGTTACAATGTTTGTTAAGTTACTATGTTGTAAACCACTTTGTGGCCCTTTGACAAAGGGTAGCGTATAAATTTCTTAAATAAATACATTTCCAGGGTGGGTGTAAATTACAGAATAATTTTATGTCCCTAATAATGATGTAACACCAGGATATATTAGTGTACCAAAACATGCATAGGCATTATTAGGAGCTTCCAAACTTGCCACTTCATATCCCCTTGTTCTGACACCTAATTAATGTTTTCCCTTTATGGTGTTTTGGGCCTAGCACACCCTATTAATGTCAGGCAGCATAATCTCCTTCGCTGTGGTTGGCAGGCACTTGTTAATTCACGTTTAAATGTGTCCATACTTCTTGGGGATAATGATTTTTGGTGGGGATAGTGAATTCAAAAGTTGGGGTGCAATTGGAATGTTGTCATTTTATTGCTTTGTATACTTTGATAACATAAAATCACTTTATTGTTTATAGTGCTACTTGATAGGTTGCTAACATATTTTTTTTTATTCAGGTTTAGGGACTTTCCAGGCCAAAATGACTGGTTTGTTGAGGACCGAAAAACACCTGACTACAACATAAACTCTCATTTTCTTCCCCCATTTCAGTAAAAATGCCTCAGCTGCTTAAGGGGTGACCAAATCCAGCACTTTCTTTCCTCTTTCACACATTATTAATTCTCAGGCTTTACAAGAGGCTGGACTGATTCAGAATGTTGTAGCTGATACATACCTTACTAATGGCTCAGAATAGGAATTGGAATAATATCCCTGATCCCTCATTCCCAAACTATAACAACAAAATACAGGAGAAAGAAAACCTATGTTTGTGAAATATAGCTGGGATAAGATAACAAAGATGTTTGGAAGCCCCTGTATGGGGGGAGAACATCCTATTAATGATTTATATTTCAGTCAATCAAACAAACATAGAATCATAGATTAGGGACTGTGAGGCAATGTAATCAACTTCCTGTGCAAAGGCCACCATTGGAGATAATCCACACTTAAGCACTTTAAGCAGAGAACAGGTTTAAGCAAAAGGACACCTGTAGTGTAAGCGGCTTAAACCTTAAAAAGCACACCTGAGTGGAAAGTATGGGTCAGTTTGACCAAGGCAAAAGTTTCTTCTTGGTTCAAAAGATGGCAATCAGAATGAGAATGAACAAGTCGTGTGTGTCATTACACATTCCCCCAAAATTACCTTGAGTGCAACCCTCGATCACCCCATTGTGTTTATAGTTGTAGCATTCCATGAATATTCCTGTGCAGTAAGGATAATAAGAACATAAGGAGACCCCTGCTGAATCTAGGCCCATCTAGTCCAGCATCCTGCTCTCACAGCGGCCAACCAGAAACTTATGGGAAGCTTGCAAGCAGGACTTGAGCATATTCCCCACTTAAAATTCCCAGAAACTGGTGTTCAGAGGTATACAAAATCAGTCCAGCTGAGTACGGTCTACACTGACTAGCATTGGCTCTCCAAGATTTCAACCTGGAGGTGCTGGGAAGAAGAAGAAGAAGAAGAAGAAGAAGAAGAAGAAGAAGAAGAAGAAGAAGAGGAGTTTGGATTTGATATCCCGCTTTATCACTACCCGAAGGAGTCCCAAAGCAGCTAACAATCTTCTTTTCCCTTCCTCCCCCACAACAAACACTCTGTGAGGTAAGTGGGGCTGAGAGACTTCAGAGAAGTGTGACTGGCCCAAGGTCACCCAGCAGCTGCATGTGGAGGAGCGGAAACGCGAACCCGGTTCCCCAGATTACGAGTCCACCGCTCTTAACCACCACACCACACTGGATCGAACCTGGGATCTTCTATGTCCAAAACAAGTGCTCTACCACTGACCTACTGCCCTTCCCCAAATGATATACAGTCGTACCTTGGAAGTCAAACGGAATCCGTTCCGCAAGTCCGTTCAACTTCCAAAACGTTCAGAAACCAAAGTGCGGCTTCTGATTGGCTTCCAAAAATAGTTCGCAGAGCGGAACACTCACTTCCGGGTTTGCGGCGTTCGGGAGCCAAAGCGTTCGAGAACTAAGCTGTTCGAAAACCAACCTGTGACTGCATTGCATCAGTTCTGAGACGAATAACCAAATTTCTGCAGAATGCGAAGACGAAGTCCAAGGTACGCACGCAACGTTTTAGAAACAAGGTAAACAACTGCACAGAATCCCACCGTCATTGAGCATTGTCGCTCAGCCCCCTTCCACATGCAAACAACCTCTTATCTGAGTAATTTGATACAAAAGTAAATGAAAGGTAACTTTAAAAACAGCAGATTATATTAATTTCACTCGTGGAATGACCTTTGATTGAGAGGAGACTCTGTTAGGCAGGACAGACAGGGAAGAGGGGTTTTACTGATTCCAACTTCACTCTGCAGCCTGCTGTTGCAGCCCCCACAAAATCTGCTGTAGTTTGGGGGAACCTTGGAATACCTGGGAAGTAGAGTACAGGGCCCGAGGGAAAGGGGGAAATTTGTGAAAAGCAACTCACACCCCCTTTCACTCTCAGAAATCTCTGCTGGGTCACAGAAGCCTTTCATCAGTGGAGGAACAGTATTGGATACAGCCCTACAATCAGGGGCGGATCTGCTGTGAAAGTTAGGAAGCTTCAGGGTCCCTAATCATCCTAGAGGAGCCCCAGAAACAACCTTATTCATGCATGTATATAACATTTCCCTAATTTTTATCCCCCACATACAGTAACTTGAAAACCATAAGGCATAGGAAATATTTATTCACACCAGTGACTTTGACATATGAGATAATCCAGTAGAGCAATTTTAATCAAAATCTGAAATGTAGTAGCTAGCTTAAAAATATATATATATATTGTGGTGGTCTGTCATGGAAGAACCCCACTGAAGAAGATAACAGTGGTTAACTCAAAATGTAGGTCGGCCACTGCCTACAGTTATAATTATTTTGTGGTTGGATGAGTTGGCTAGTTGTCCAGCTGACGTATGATCTTATTGAATGCTATTTGTAAGTTTATTCTACTATGTCGACAGGGTTTTATGTGACTTTGGGGTGGGTTAAAGGAGGAGAAAAAGACACATTCAAAGATCTGATGTGCATATGGATTACTCTCATGCTTCTTAGAACTGCATCACACATGCTGACTTCCCCCTGTCTTTTTATAGTGGTTAATATAACTTCTGGCCATACGAATATGACCTCACATGGCAAGATTTATATTTAATCATGCACGGAAGAACAATTTAATAAACAAATCAAGGGAGAATGACAGGGAATGGAAGAGTGACGGCAAGAAAGTTACCAGGGGGTGACCTTTTCCTGTCATAAATGATTATATAAAATCATCCTCAGGGGAAACATTCTGAGAAAAGGATATCTGTGCTTGTGTTCTTGTGAGTCAAAAATGGTTGTTCATTAGGACTACAATTTCTGTCCTCTGCTTAGTTTTTTTATTTAGTTTTGTTTAAAAAATGATAATTTTACAGAATTTTCCATTGAGGGCATTTTGGGTCAAAAGACACAATGCCTGATATGGAGACTATGGGACATAGAAGCAAATTGGCCACCAGTGCCGCTGACATTGCAGAATAGATGCAACATGTTCCCATAGATATGGGCAATCACTTCCTAATAAATTTGCCACTGCACTCTGGGTCAACTGCAGCTTATGAAGACTCTTGAAATCTAGTCCCATGTAGAGTGCATTGCAGTTATCCAGTCTTGATATAATTCGGCCATGCGTTACTTGATATCAGACGACAAATAGAGATATAACTGTGTGTTCATGCATATACTGCTGATCTATTATATTTTCCTATCATACCACTAGTCTTTGCATTCGGTTACTGGGTGTTTTTATTGTAATTGGTGTGTGTGTGTGTGTGTGTGTGTGTGTGTGTGTGTGTGTGTTATGGTATCTGCAGGAATAACTCAGATTTTAAGATTATCTCAGATTTGGGCTTCGTATTCACTTTACAAGATCATACTACAGTCAGTAGTCTGACTGAAGCTGCATGATCTGCATGAGAGCCAGTGTGGTGTAGTGGTTAAGAGCGGTAGTCTCGTAATCTGGGGAACCGGGTTCGCGTCCCCACTCCTCCACATGCAGCTGCTGGGTGACCTTGGGCCAGTCACACTTCTCTGAAGTCTCTCAGCCCCACTCACTTCACAGAGTGTTTGTTGTGGGGGAGGAAGGGAAAGGAGAATGTTAGCCGCTTTGAGACTCCTGAAAGGGAGTGAAAGGTGGGATATCAAATCCAAACTCTTCTCTTCTTCTTCTTGAATCTAATGTGATTAAACTGTAGGATCATCACTATTTTGGTAATCTGAGAACTGCGTACCTGTCCTATTCCCCTCCCAAAGGCATTGTTGTCTAAATAATGAATGAACATGTGCATAATTGCATTTTCATACATTTTAAATGATTCCACACATACCTCTGCACTGAAGGACTTCCCTTAAAAATAAAACTCAGCCCTCCAACCATCTCTTTTTTAGTGATCACAGTCCATCTCAGCCTGGTCCCCAGCAGGCTTTCCATTAATGTGCTAGGCTGACAATGAGCTGAAGACAGAATATGAAAGTGAGCTGTGGTCAAATAAGGCTTCTAACTAAGCATGATGACAGAAGCCATCACCTTAATGGGCTCAGCCATTCTAAAATGTAACTGCTGACAGTCGTGCACTTACAATCATGGAAGGAACAATGGGACTCCTCCATCTGCACATTTTTGGCTGACTAAATCATCTGTTTCTAGCTTTACATACTCATCCAGCTTGTAAGTGTCCTGTAGGAAAGTTGCTTCTGTCATCCATAACAGCACACAAGGGGTGGAGGAGGGGGAAAGAGGAAATTACTGCAGCTTTCTATAGACAATTGATAACCTTGCCTATATATTCTTAGCCTACCTGAGAGACCTCCCTCATGGATCACTGCCTTGCCGTGGCGAAGGGGCTTGAATAACTCAGAGAAGCTATGAGCTATGCTGTGCAGGGCCACCCAAGACAGACAGATCATAGTGAAGAGTTTTGACCAAACGTGATCCACCTGGAGTAGCAACTGGCAAGCCACTGCAGTATACCTGCCAAGAAAACTCCATGGCAAATAGAAACTCCTGGCAAATATAAGGGGAAGAAATGGAGGCAGTGAGAGATTTTACTTTCTTGGGCTCCATGATCACTGCAGATGGCGACAGCAGTCATGAAATTAAAAGATGCCTGCTTCTTGGGAGAACAGCAATGACAAACCTACACAGCATCTTAAAAAGCAGAGACATCACCTTGCTGACAAAGGTCTGAATAGTTAAAGCTATGGTTTTCCCAGTAGTGATGTATGGAAGAGAGATGGACCATCAAGAAGGCTGATTGCCAGAAAATTGATGCTTTTGAATTATGGTGCTGGAGGAGACTCTTGAGAGTCCCATGGACTGCAAGAAGATCAAACCTCTCCATTCTTAAGGAAATCAGCCCTGAGTGCTCACTGGAAGGACAGATGCTGAAGCTGAGGCTCCAATACTTTGGCCACCTCATGAGAAGAGAAGACTCCCTGGAAAAGACCCTGATGTTGGGAAAGATTGAAGGCACAAGGAGAAGGGGACGACAGAGGACGAGATGGTTGGACAGTGTTCTCGAATCTACGAACATGAGTTTGACCAAACTGTGGGAGGCAGTGGGAGACAGGAGTGCCTGGCGTGTTCTGGTCCATGGGGTCACAAAGAATCGGACATGACTAAACAACTAAACAACAACAACCTGAGAGACATGGAACAAGGCTAATGCAGTTTTTGGTTTCTAAGCTGTAGAACACCAGCTTTGCTCTCCAGTTCCTTCAAGGACTTTTGCAACAAGCTGTGGATTCTGGGATCATCCATTTTGTAACTCCTCCTCCATTCCACATACAGAAACTGATTGAATGGGCAGTTGAATCTTACCCAAACACTGGTGATGGGACAGTATCTTCTACCACACCTAGCAAGCTAGCTTAGAGGACACCACAGGACAGACTACACGTAACATGCACCTCTGCTCTCCAACAGCTCATTGATACCCCACTCTCAGCATCCACCACCTGAGGCAAACCCCTCACTCTATCTAATGGTAGGGTCCACCCACTGGGGATTGCAGGCTGAAGAGGAACATGAAGACTTTTGCACTGGAATGAGAGCCAGGATAAGGGTTGTGGTTAGAATGCAGGAAGATCCAGGTTAAAATCCCTGGTCAGCTGTAAAGCTCCCTGAGTAACATAGAGGCAGCCTCACATTCCTCACAGGACTGTTGTGAGAACAAATGGGGAGTGGAGAAACCAAATGTGTCAACTCCAGCTTCTGTATTGAAGGATAGAATAGAAGTGACTAGAACAGTGTCTATTTTGGAACAGAAACTTATCTGTGAATGATGAAGGAGGAGACAGAAATAACTGGAATATATATAATACTTTCCCCAACAACAAAAAACAACAACAAATACACACACATGACATAGTCCCTGACCCTCAAATAATTCTCAGTATCATATGGACACAGGAAAACTGATGATGCTTAACTCATAGTTTTATTTATGTTCCTAAAATGCATTCAAGATCCCTTTTCTAGAGATATCTTCCGGGAACCCCATTCATAACAATTTGCTACTGTTGCTATTAAAAACAAATAAAAAATGGAGATGGAAGGTGGGGCTAGAGATAAACAGTCACTAAATATATAATTAAAACAAATATTTAGATACTTCCATAATGCCATTCATTCAAAACCGCCACCAACGTTAATCATGTTCAGAGTTAAAAGCAACATTCAATTAGATCATCTTTCCCAAAACATGGATTAAGGCTGGAGATTACCTCAAACCAAATAGTTATTTCTGGGCCATTTGAAGCAGCCTTTCATGTTATTTCAGTCAGACCTCATATCTAAAATGTGATCCTTTCTACAGCATTACTTGGTGTTGCACTATGTTTGCAGGTTGCTTTTAAAAAAATTGTAGGATCCCGTCTTTCGGAAGCACACACGTACATGAGGAGAATGGTCCCTGCCTTTGTAAATTCTCATTTCATTATTATCACAACTTCCATTGATCAAATATTCACTGTCTTCAGTACCCCCTCAACTCTGAGTTCTCCCCTCCAAAAAGAAAGGTATTTTTGCTTGTTGTTGAACTTAATCAAAATTGAATGTAAATAACACTTTGCAATTATGAGTGTTTAAATTCCAAATTTTTCAGGCTAATCACTTTCAGAAACAAACAAGAGATTGAATTTATATCGCCTGCAGTTGTTATTGGAAAGGTACGGCCCGAGATTGCTAAATGAAGTCAGTCCCACTGCAATTATGACCACTCAAGCGTGCTTTCAACGTATCGTGCCAAATTAGGTAGATTTGAGCAATTTGACTTCCTGTAACAAATCTCCAGGGCACCTTTGAGAAAGTACAGACTGTTTACAAACACTCTCAGATTTCATGAGTAACTCTGGGCAAGAGCCCTTTCAGCAGCGCCCGAGCACACACCTGTCAAACTATGACAGCATGGACTTTTTCTGCCACATGTGCTGGAGAGAGGGGGGGACCCCCCTCTCGCAAATGTTTTGTTATCTTTTATTTGCTGTGCTTTTATTTGCTTTCGTTTTAAATGAAGCGGCCACCAAAGATTTTTAATTACCTTGCATAGATGCAGACACAAAAAGCAAGCACCACAGGATCGCAATCAACCCAATGCAAATGTTGGAAACTTACCGTATTCTAGTCCCCCTAGCTGAGGGCTTATCTCCTTGGGCAAATCTATCGCAGCAACATTATTTTTCCTGGCAATGAAAACTAAATATGAGGCATGGTCCAGGGTGTCATAAAGATTTTAAAATCCCATTGATGGAGTTTACTCAGTAGAAGAATTAAGCATATGTACCTCTTTCATAGAAACTAATGGGATTGGAAAGTTCCATTAAAATTTTGCTGGATCGTACCAAAGTGAAAACCAGCACTTTATTCCTTAGAAGGAGATATCAATAGCATAATCAAATCTGAAGCCAGGTTAGATTCCTTAAATTGCCTAACCTTCCCTGTGGTAAACCAAATTGATATTGGTTAGATCTGGTCCTAACCAATGTGGATGACCTGGTTAGTGGGGTAGAAGTGGAAGGATCATTAGGCGCGAGTGATCATGCTCTTCTGAAGTTTACTATACAGCAGAAAGGAGCAGCCAAGCATACTAGGACTCAATTTCTTGACTTTAAGACAGCCGACTTCATAAAACTTAGGGAAGTGCTGGGTGAGATCCCATGGACAGTAATACTAAAAGGAAAGGGAGTTCATGATGGCTGGGAGTTTGTTAAGAGGGAGATACTAAAAGCACAACGTCAGGCAATACCAATGAGATGGAAACATGGAAGGTGCCTAAAGAAGCCAGGGTGGCTATCTAAAGAACTTTTAACTGAGTTAAGATTAAAAAGGATGTGTACAAAAATGGAAAAGGGGGAAACCACCAAAGAGGAATTCAAACAAATAGCCAGCACGTGTAGACACAAAGTCAGAAAAGCTAAAGCACAGAATGAACTCAGGCTTGCTAGAGAGGTTAAAAGCAACAAAAAGGCTTTTATGGGTATGTTCATAGCAAAAGGAAGAACAAAGAAACAGTGGGGTCACTCAGAGGAGAAGATGGTGAAATGCAAACAGGGGACACAGAAAGGGCTGAACTCCTCAATGCCTTCTTTGCCTCAGTCTTCGCCGATAAAGAAAACAATGCCCGACCTGAAGAATTTGGAGCAAATGATTCAGCAAAGGAAACACAGCCCAGAATAACTAAGGAGATAGTACAAGAATACTTGGCTAGTTTAGATGTATTCAAGTCTCCAGGGCCAGATGAACTGCATCCAAGAGTATTAAAAGAACTGGCAGATGTGATCTCAGAACCACTGGCAGTCATCTTTGAGAATTCCTGGAGAACAGGCGAAGTCCCGGCAGACTGGAGGAGGGCAAATGTTGTCCCTATTTTCAAAAAGGGGAAAAGAGAGGACCCAAATAATTATCGCCTGGTCAGTCTGACATCAATACCAGGGAAGATTCTGGAGCAGATCATTAAGCAAACAGGCTGTGAGCACCTAGAAAGGAATGCTGTGATCACCAATAGTCAGCATGGATTTCTGAAAAATAAGTCATGTCAGACTAACCTGATCTCGTTTTTGACAGAATTACAAGCCTGGTAGATGAAGGGAACGCAGTGGATGTAGCCTACCTTGATTTCAGCAAGGCATTTGACAAGGTGCCCCATGATATTCTTGTAAAGAAGCTGGTAAAATGCGGTCTTGACTATGCTACCACTCAGTGGATTTGTAACTGGCTGACTGACCGAACCCAAAGGGTGCTCATCAATGGTTCCTCTTCATCCTGGAGAAGAGTGACTAGTGGGGTGCCACAGGGTTCTGTCTTGGGCCTGGTCTTATTCAACATCTTTATCAACGACTTGGATGATGGACTCAAGGGCATCCTGATCAAATTTGCAGATGACACCAAACTGGGAGGGGTGGCTAACACCCCAGAGGACAGGATCACACTTCAAAACGACCTTGACAGATTAGAGAACTGGGCCAAAACAAACAAGATGAATTTTATCAGGGAGAAATGTAAAGTATTGCACTTGGGCAAAAAAAATGAGAGGCACAAATACAAGATGGGGGACACCTGGCTTGAGAGCAGTACATGTGAAAAGGATCTAGGAGTCTTGGTTGACCACAAACTTGACATGAGCCAACAGTGTGACGCGGCAGCTAAAAAGCCAATGCAATTCTGGGCTGCATCAATAGGAGTATAGCATCTAGATCAAGGGAAGTAATAGTGCCACTGTATTCTGCCCTGGTCAGACCTCACCTGGAGTACTGTGTCCAGTTCTGGGCACCACAGTTCAAGAAGGACACTGACAAACTGGAACGTGTCCAGAGGAGGGCAACCAAAATGGTCAAAGGCCTGGAAACGATGCCTTATGAGGAACGGCTAAGGGAGCTGGGCATGTTTAGCCTGGAGAAGAGGAGGTTAAGGGGTGATATGATAGCCATGTTCAAATATATAAAAGGATGTCACATAGAGGAGGGAGAAAGGTTGTTTTCTGCTGCTCCAGAGAAGCGGACACGGAGCAATGGATCCAAACTACAAGAAAGAAGATTCCACCTAAACATTAGGAAGAACTTCCTGACAGTAAGAGCTGTTCGACAGTGGAATTTGCTGCCAAGGAGTGTGGTGGAGTCTCCTTCTTTGGAGGTCTTTAAGCAGAGGCTTGACAACCATATGTCAGGAGTGTTCTGATGGTGTTTCCTGCTTGGCAGGGGGTTGGACTCGATGGCCCTTGTGGTCTCTTCCAGCTCTATGATTCTATGATTCTATGATTCTATGATTCTAGATAAGCAAGCGGCCCATATGATGACTGCTTGAAATGCAAAGTGTGCGCTGCTGTGCATGATAAGCCATTCACATGGAATGCTGCACTTGTTTCATACAGTTTCACTCCGGTAGTCTGAAACTGACAGATCCGACTGTATGTGGATCAAATAGTTTCCAAAGAGAATGGTTTGAGAGCACCTACTGCTTTCTGGATGAATTCGCTGGATAGATTAATATTGGTCACCCCAATTTAAGCTGCTCTTTTCTGAATGAAATGTGCAAGAAAGACATCACTCCCCTCAACAGCAAGCTCAAAGGCCGAATGCCAACAGGACTGTAGCCAAAACAAGGAGGAGGTATCAGTACGCTTTGGGGATACAACCCCAAAACAGCCCAAAAAGGCCTGTGCATGTTTAGTGGCCATTGAACACTGAACATCTGTTGGTGAGGGACAGAAAACTAGGGAGGAGAAACAAAAGGAATTTTTCTAGAAGTGGACATGGCTGGCCGGCCGTCTATAACCTGAAAAGAAACACTAATCTCTGGAACATTTTGTTGCAATCTCAGTTTGTAAATAATATACCTGCCATCCCAGACAAACTCACTCCAAGTGAATTAGAGTGGCCCGGAGGTGACTTGTGTTCTTAAATTGTTGACTTGAGTTTTGTAATTCAGAATAACCTTTTAACAATCACGACAACACATCTGGGTGATGTACAAATGCCTGGAGCTCATCTGTGGCAATTTTCCTTAATCCCAAGATTCCTCACTTGATGTACCTTTAGGATCATGGAAGTTGCTATGGCTGCACTCTCTGTAACCTCCCAACTCGCATTGCACATGTGAATGGAATACAGCTGCAAGCAAATAAATTATCCAGAAGTGGTGCCTCAGCCAGCCCCTCAGAGAGAGAAAGAGAGATCTCTATACAGTGGTACCTCTGGTTACAAACTTAATTCGTTCTGGAGGTCCATTCTTAACCTGAAACCGTTCTTAACCTGAGGCACCACTTTAGCTAATGGGGCCTCCCGCTGCTGCTGGTGCACGATTTCTGTTCTCATCCTGAGATAAAGTTCTTAACCCAAGGTACTATTTCCAGGTTAGCAGAGTCTGTAACCTGAAATGTTTGTAACCCGAGGTACCACTGCATATTCCCACTGAAACGTACGAGGGGCAGCCTACCACTAAGCACAGTTCCTAAGAGCAATAGCAACAAATGTATTATTATGATTTAAAATACAATATTCATAACTTTGCTAGATAAGTGATATTTCTGTCACACAGGCCTTGCACAACAGATCTATCCTAACTGACTGTTATCTGTCTAAAAAAGGCTACCAGGAACAAACTGACCATGAAATAAAGTTATGACCTACAGCAAACCGGGTGTTAACTCTGTCCCCCTATCCATCCAGTGAACTTAACACTATTATGGCATCTAATAACAACAGGAGTTCATTCACCTCTTCATCCTGCAACATGATAAGCTCTGATCCAGGGAACTGGCATTACTACAGGTGCCACATACCTCTTCGGCATTTGTAAGAACTTGATTGTTTAGTGTGGCAGTGCCTACACTTCGGAATTCCTTGCCTATTGAGATCAAGCCGGTGCCTTTGCTGTATTATTTTCAGTGACTTCTCCAAACATGCTTGCTTAGACAAGCCAACCCAACCCAGATGTGTAGAAGGTTGTTGTAAATCTTAATGTTCACATTAAGTGAATTTTAATGATGTGAATGTTTGAAACTATTGTATTTTTTTCTTGATTTTCTTGTTTCGTCTTTTTGTACAGCAACAGGAAGAGCTTAAATCTCTCTTCCCCATGGTCCAGCTCCAGGTCCTGACTGGGGAGCCCAGCAGCTGTTCTTTACACAAGGAAAAAACCAGATACAAATACTACCAAAGCTACACATTTAATATCCCGTGTTGTTAAATCCAAGGGAGTTCCTATAGATAAGGCCAGATGGGTTCCTTTTGCCTTTCCAGGTCACTTGATTTCTGCCAGCCTTCCTACATGCATTTTCCCTTCCTTCTTAGCTTTTCTGATGGTGGATGTAGTGAACCATTTAGAGGCCCTGGGTAATATATGAACACCTTTGGCATGGCCTTCATGAGAATGAACCCCTGACTTATTACATAACTGAGAGGCAGGTGCCTTGGTCCTGGGCCCAGTTCCTCCAGTTTAGGTCTACTGGTGCCTTGCTTAAGAAATTAAGGCTTACTGCATGTCAACTGAAATTAACTAATGAACAGAAGAAATAGGCTTTTGGCCTGAAGTATGATTCAGATATTTTTGCTTAATTTATTTCTTGAATAATCTCTGCCCATAATACAGACCAAATAGAAAGCTTAATAGACCTGCTAGAAGAACACATACATAAACTTGTTAAAAGTTTAAGGCATTCATACATAGCATGTCACTGGAATCCTATCCTTTGCCAACCTCCAGAAACATTTTCTTTTTCTGTACTAAAAGACAACCTGAAAACATTTTACTGTGAATTAATGAACTAATTTATGGATTACACTCACGGCTGTTGCTCGAGATGCTGGTTTAGGTCATTGTAATATATTATGATAGTCTCTGTAGCCAGGAGTAAAGGAACTCCACAAACTACAAAGAGTTCAAAGCTTTTGATTACACACGGGTCCTTGAAGCTTCCAATCAACTGCTTTCTCGTACGCTTGAACTCAATTGTGAAGGAGCACCCAAATGACAGAAGGCTAACTCCAGACTTGCGAGAAGGGCTGCTCCAGCAATTCTTTCAAGATGTCTGTAATCAGCTAACAGCAGACATTGACTCAACCCCTCACAGTTATTGCTGAACAGGTTTCAGGTCTGCTGTGTTTCTTCAGGGGCCATTATGCTTAATCTCAATTGTTTGGAACACGAAACTCTCAAAATGGAGATCCAGACCTTTGCTTATTTCACAGTATTATTTCAAACAGTAACTATTTTAATTCAGCCTCTAAGGGGATGCCTATATATATAGGCATCCCTTTAGAGGCTGAATTAAAATAGTTACACACACACACCCAGTTCAGCAAGTACTGTAGTTCTTAGAACTTAACATCCAGTGAACTTAGATTTCTCAAATATATATTTCTCATATATGATACATCCATTTCTAACACTAAAGGTTGTACCTGCTCAAACTTCCAAGCTCCTCTTTCTGACTGAGGGCAATCTGCTTGAAGTTTTCAGGTATATTTACCCACTGCCCTCCCACTCAGAACCTCAAGCTCTGGTCTACACCAGAAGTAGCCAACATAGTGCCCTCCAGAACTTGCTGGACTTCAACTCTCATCAGCACTGACTATCAGCCATGCTGGCTGGACTTGATGATAGTTGAGGCCCAACAACATCTGGGGTTGGGCCCTGTCCGCTACCTCAGTCCACACACACAGACTAAAGAGCTATTTCCCAACAACATACTTGGCATTGCACTGAAAATCTACAAGCAGGGTTTTATACCACAATGGCGGATGTTTGTGAGACCTTTGGTGTGTACATGTGTGAATGCCTTAATGGTCACATATAAGAAAACTTAACAGGAGTGCTGGCCTGAAGTACCATTCAGATATTTATGCACAGTGCATTTCTAGAAAAAATCCTGCCAATAAAAACAGACAAAGTAATAATACACTTAATAGAAGTCCTAGTAAGGACAAGTACACATATTTAACTTGTTAAAATTAACTTGATAGTTATTACACAACTAGCCAAAGTTTATATATTTGCTGCTAAGAGCCTGTTTCTGTTTTCCACCAGATGATGTACATTTTTGATGGAACATTCCTTTTGAAACGTCCAGCTGTAGGAAAAGGAGAAACTTGCATGCCTGTTTACACGAGATTGCCCAAGTTTTTCATGTTAGATTTCACACATGCTATTTCATTTCACATGATTTTTTATTTTATTATTATCTTAAATATTTACATACTGCCTGTCATTAAAATAACACCAAAGTGGTATCAAGTTATGTAGTAGCTGTCCAATGGGAGGCATGTTTCCTTTCTCCATGGGTGTTCAGCAACCCACATGGCTGGAATATTTTAGCCAGATATGGGCAGGAGTGGATTGATCAATTTCTGGTGGTCCCTCAAATGCCTACTAGTTGCTGCTATGAGTGGCACAGGAACGTCAGTACCAGGTTTGGGGTCCCACGGCTAAGAGGACTGCCAAATACAACAGAGAGACAGTGGCAGTGGTGGTAGTAAGCAACAGCATGTCAGAAGGACCATGCTGACTTCCAGTGCTCCAACTGATGGCTATTTTAATGTACATCATTACCCAAGGAAAGAGTGGCAGTAGAGCCAGCCTATCAAATACCATCTGCGCTCCCTCAGCTGGCTCCCACACCATTCCAGCATCCTCACTGGTTCCAAAGGTGGCTTCTGACTGGCTGTGATTGCTGTCACTCTTGCCTTGTTGACATGATTTAAATTAAAATGGCAAGCAGCTAGAGCCTTTGAGAGGGCCAGTGGAGTGCTTTGCTTTGCAGCAAACCCTGCCAGGAAGCTGGATAGCCAGAAACACACACAAAGAGACACAGAAGAATTACAGAATAGTAGAGTGGGGAATTGTGGAGTGGGGAAGCACAGTGCAAAGGCAGAAGCATTATTGTTTTACTTGAATAAAATAAGGGGGCACGTAAGCCCCACCCCACATAATCAGTCACAAGATGCAGCACACACACACACACACCACTTGAATGGCAATGCCCACCAACTTTGGGGGACCCCCTCAAATATTTTATTGGGGGGGGACGAAGGGACCTCGGCCCCAGGAGTTCTCCTATGTTGTTGTGAGTTTGGGGGTATCTGTATGATTCCTGAGTCCCTTCTAATTCCTGGGGTCCTGGATCCAGCAAGGGCTAACATATAAGGAACAATTCCACTGTTGAACTAGCCAGGCATTTTCTTTTTTCTTTTTAATTAATTTTGCTTTATTACTTCCAACAAAAAACCAAACATACAACAAACAAATAAAAGCACATTAACACAATACATCTACTGTAAATATAATAATTTCCTAATAAATATCTTCCATAATAACTTCCCATCACCCCATCAAGATATCTTATTATTTTTTGAGCTGTCACACTTCTCTTTATCAATACTAATACAGTGGTACCTCGGGTTAAGTACTTAATTCGTCCCGGAGGTCCATTCTTAACCTGAAACTGTTCTTAACCTGAAGCACCACGTTGGCTAATGGGGCCTCCTGCTGCTGCTGCGCCTCCGGAGCACGATTTCTGTTCTCATCCTGCAGCAAAGTTCTTAACCCTAGGCACTATTTCTGGGTTAGCAGAGTATGTAACCTGAAGCATATGTAACCTGAAGCGTATGTAACCTGAAGTACCACTGTACATCTTTATTCTCTTAAGTTACTATAATTTCCTAGTTTTCTACAGAAGTTACTCCAGGCCTGCCAACGAGTTCAAAATCTTACAATGCTCCCTGAAATACTTTCTATACAGGTCCCATTCCTTTATAAATGTTTGTTCAGTCCGGTCTCTTAATTTTTTCGTCATTTTAGCCATTTTTGCAAATTCTAATAGTTTTGATTGCCACTCCAATTTCATCAGTATCACATCTCCTTTCCAGTTTCTAGCTATTAGAATTCTTGCTGCCAGGCATTTTATTGGTGAGTTAATGACCCTATGTACTGTTGTTAGTATAACAAAGGAGGTTGCACTGTGCCAGAGGGGAAATGGGTGGGTCCCCTGACTGTTAGAAGGACAATAGTGAGTGCAAGTGTGTGAGAGCTGGAGGCAGGCAGAAGCTGGGAGAAAGCCATGCTTGATTTCTGCTAAGATCCAATGCTGTGACTATGGGAGAGCACAACCTTTTGGAGTGTTAATGCTGTGAGCTGCTCCATCTTTGACTCAGGTTGTACAAATGTGTAAATAAACCATATAGCCTAAAGACACCACAGTCTCTGCTGTCCCTTATTCTAAGGAAACTGAACCCTGAGTAAGTGCCTGGAACCCCTGGAATCTCACACTGCTCAGAGGTGACGTGTGACATTATTATCCTTATCTCCTCATAAACCCTTGATTTTGATGTAGCCATGTTTATTTTGGTGAAGGAATAGGGCTCCTCAAAAGGGTTGCACACAGGGAACCACAGACCATAAATCTGCCATTGCTCAGAATGCTTTTTAAAAAGCCCCAGCTGCTGGTATTGTAGACTTAGTTGTTAGATAGACACTAACACTAGACTCTAGAGATACTGCTGCTGGCATCAGCCTCTATGTGACATTTACCTCAAGCCAAATTCCCTAAACCTCCACCTCTGCCAAATACTTTCATAATCCAGTCCAGCTACTGGGGACAATCTGTCCCTGCCCCCTCCCCCAACTCCTCTGGCCATACTGTTGGCTGCTTGGACGACTCTAGGGAACCTTAGCCTGTTGGCCAAATGCAGCCCTCCAGGCCACTGGTCTTTGGGACATTCTTTGTACCATGCCCCTAAACAGCATTGCTCTACACCCACCTCAAGGTTTTCTTCTTGTTGGAATGTTTCCTTGAACTGTGGTGATGCTTCTTGCTTAAATGGATTGAGAGATGTGGGGGTGGGCATAGAAACCTCTGAATTTTGCACAGCTGGAAAGGAGCCTACTGTACAAAGATAAGAGTTGCATTTGTTGCTCTACTTCCCTTTCCCTCTGACCCAACATTGACGTGGCCCCTGGAAGGTTGCTATAATAAATATTTCTAATAATAAGCAAGCATACAGATAAATCACTGTTGAAGTGCACCCACAACTGTGAGGCTTTCCAAGCTGTTACCATTGGCTACAGACTACCTGTGATGTCACAAAAGCAGATGGCAGCTGAGTGGATACAGCAGGCAGCAGCTATGACATTCAGCATTTCCCAGTCTTCTTCCACCTGCAGGAGGCGAATATCCAGCTGCAGGTGCTATTGAGAACTAATAAAGTAAGTTCACTTGCTGAGTAGGATTGTGGCTTGAAGGCAGGTGAGCTGGATGGGAGCTGGCTGATGTCTGCTAACAGATGTAGCAGAAGCTGGCTCATGCTGGTGGATGGAAGCTGGCGGAGGTCGCATTCAGAAATTGGTGAATACCTCAAGGCTGAAGCAGGCTGATGTTTGCAGATGTACTGGTAAGTCAGTTGAAATTCCTCTTCAGAAACTGGTCAACAGAAGCCGGTGGATATTTGTGGGATGAAGCTGGGGCATGAATGTGAATGAATTGTGAGAGGATGTGTCCGTTGGCATGCTTCATGGATGTTAACTGGTGTATGCCTGTGTGAAGGGGAGACGTTGAATGTGATCAAGTCAAAAGGTGTGCCTATGTGTGCATATGTGATGTGTAAAAGGTAACCGGTGGATATTCATGAATAGATGAAACCTATGGAAGCTGGCAGGCTGAAATTAGTGGATGAAGTCACGAAACTGAAGCTGGTGGAGTTGCCTGGGTGATGCTGTCAGATGCTAGCTATCCCCCTTAGGGTCTCTGGGTTCCTCCCCTGTGGATATTTTCACCCCCTCCCATTGCGAGAATCTCCTGATATGATGTTTTCAGAAAGGAGGGGGTGCGAAAACTGCTCTTCACTTCTTCCGCTCCTGCCTGACTCTGTGGGGAGTCTGAGTGTGATCTATGTAGAGATTAGATGGCTGAGTGAGAGCTGTAACACTCATGCAAGCCAGTAGCTCTTTAGTTCTAGTTTGCAGTAGCTATTAGAAAATAAAGAAGTTATGTTTCACAGCTTTCTTCCGTGTTGTTCATACTCTGCTGAGCTTGGTGCTCACAATGGACAGTTGTGGATCCAGTGCACTTAGACCTGCTTTCCAGGAGTGGAAGGTCTCTGGAAGTGCTCCAGTCACCTAGCCCAGTCGGGGCAGTACCGGTTATTGAGCCCAGTCATTGGCATCGGCTCAAAGGCGTACTGACCCCCTCAAAGACATGTCTGAAGTCAGTGAGGTTTTCTTAAGACCAACCCTGAAAGTAGTGAAGAGAACTGCAGCACTTAGACAAACCAACTTCTTTCTAAATACATTTAGCTGTGGCGTCCATTCTATCTTTTTTTTTCAAAGACAGATAATGGAAGAACAAACACCTCAGCTTTGTAGCAGTACATTGAGAAATAAACAACGAACAAATCAGTGCTGAGGTGCCTACAATTGCCAGGCCTGGGGAGGCTTTGCTGATGCCAGTTGTCTGTGGACCATCTGTAATTTCACAAAAGGGCATGGTAGCTGAGGTGAAAGAGGTTCTTCCCATGACATCACTGGGGCCCACTTCTGTGGCATCACTGGCTGCCCTTAGTTTTCAGGCTCCTGCCCTGAAATCTCAGAGTTTGGGATGCTCCTAATAACACAATGGGTATTAATATTCAGGCTTCCTTTTCTATCCTCATCTTTTCTCTCTGGTCTTTTCCTCATGACTCCTTCCTTCATCAGAACCCTTCCCTCCCTCTCCAACTCCTAAGCTGTTCAAATCTCAACTGTCTCCCTCAGTGACAGTTAACTCCCAACTGATGGGAACCTCCAGACACAGTCTACTTTCACCCAGACCAATGAGGATGGATTTACCTGATTCAGGCCCCAACGAATAAATTTTCAAAGCTATTGAGAACTTGACACCAAGCAGTTGCCACGAAACAAGTCAGCAACAAAGCAATAGCACAAGGCCTCGGAAGTCAGATTATTTCCCCACCCCCCTTCAAAACACCAGCATAAACAGACACATATACAGCATTTCTCCACAAGCCATCAATCTTTTTAAAATTATGCCTTCTCAATTACCATAGTAACTTAATGGATACGATGATGATGATTTGGAAAGTATTTTTGTCCCACATGCAGCAACCTAAGCTATGCTTATCTAGCACATGTGTTTAAATTGCACATGTGCAGAAGCCAGGACTATTAGAAGAAAACAGTCCTTCCAGTTTTAAGAACAGAGATGAATCCAAGCAGCATAGTTCTGATTTAAAACAGACATTTGGGCTATTCACTTGTAGTGTTTGATTTAAGCTCCGATCTATTGCATATGCTACCCTAGCCTATCAGCTTCGTTACTAATTACTGTATGCAACAGAGTTTATGACTAAATCTTAAGATTTGCCTTTGATGGTGACTTTTTATTTGCTCTTTTGTTGAAAGCAACATTAATTTTCCCAGTTCTGAAGGATTCTCTTTCAGTCAAAGGATTTCAGCAAGAGGTTATTTATATCCAATTGGTTCCTTAAATGGAAAACAATGCTGTTCCATTTCTGTAATGCATTTATAATTCCTGTCAGCTGGTGCAGTATGTGTGTGTTTGTGTGTGCGTGCAAGCAAGCCCATGCATGTATTTGTGTGTTTAAAGAGTATAAACCAATCGCTGAAGAATAAGGATTGAATTTTGTGTATGCTTCACAATATACATTTTCACAGACGGTTTCAAATCATATGATTTGTATGGCTTACGAATCATTTACCCAAGGAAGCAAGACTCACATAGAACATCTGGTTTTCAGTGTGTTCCCAGTTTTTGCTTTCTTTGGGGGCAAACTGATTGAGACATAAGGACACCAGGTGACTTAAGGTCACATACTGGGAATGTGACACAGCTGGTATTAAACCTAAGATGCTTTCAGCCTAATCATTAATGGCCATTTTTTATTCCCTTCATGACACCGGAATGTAATTACTTGCATAAGCAATACCAATGGAATGAGTGGATTTAGTCATAGCAATAACTGCTTTACATATTAATGTATTACAAACGTTTCTGTCAACTTTTTCACACAATTTTTTTTTAAGTGGGGGGAGCTGGCAATTTAGATTTACAGCTCATAGCCTGCGGACCCAGACAGCACTTTTGTTATGAAGTTGCCATATATTCTAAACAAAACATTGCATTTTTATTTTTATGTGTGTTTTGTCCTCTCAAGAACTTGGGGTACTTCAAACCTTTGCAATTGTGGTGTGGAATGTGGTTTAGTGTTCCTGGTACTCTGTGGTTATAATTCGTGATGCAGAGTTAGTTAAATAGCTCCTCCATTGGTTTTTCAGTAGCTTGCTCAAATACGGTAGGCGATTTGGTACACGTTATTGGCAGTTGTTTTCTCTCCCACTTCCTTCATCCTAATGAAATCTCGATACTTCACGCCAGTTTGTATGCTTTACTATTTCCTTGGACATCCTTCTGTGATCTCATATAGACAGCAAGTGACACTTGGACGAAGCTGCTTGCATAATAGGATATGCATCTTTCAGAATTTAAGAGGGAAAAGTAGGGTGCTGCTGATAAATGAAACTACCACCTCCTACTCGGTACTAAAGGATTGGAAGGTCATCCCACTAACCATAGCCTGATTTGAGCTAATCAGTTTTATGGAATTAACATCATGTGAACCAGCAGAGCAGGGCCTTGCATGTTTGCCCCACCCATTGTGGCACCCGTTGTATGTCCCTCCCCAGTGTTGCTTCTGCCTTTGGATGTATGCAGCATGACATCCTACTGACTGTGAGTCCTGCATTAAGCTGTCTCTAGGAGTGCTATGGGGCTCAGCTTTTGGACCATTCCATAATGATAATTTTACTATTTATACTCCACACATCTTACTGGGTTGCCCCAGCCACTCTGGACAGCTTCTAACATATATAAAAACATAATAAAACATTAAACATTAAAAAAAAACACTCCCCTATACACTTGCCTTCAGATGGCTCAGGGGTTGGATAACTCATACCCTCCAACATTTCTCCAATGAAAATAGGGACATCTTAAGGAGAAGTGAGACATTCCAGGATCAAATCAGAAACCAGGATGGCTTCTCTAAATCAGGGACGTCCCTGGAAAATAGGGACACTTGGAGGGTCTGCATTCTCCCAAATGTGCAAAAAGTGTTGGTGCAATGGGGAGGGCAAGGTCAGCAAGCACAATCCTGTGCTTCTGCCTCATGAGTGTAGCTGAACACCTAAATCAAGATTATGCATCATAGTAAATGTTAGAATTTCAATTAAAGGCAATGCTTACCAAAAATGTAAGACGTATGAGGTCAGCATGTAATTTTGGAGCCAGGGTAGCAGTTAGAAAGTTAGACCAGGATTAACGAGGCCCAGGGTTCAAATATCTTCCCACCTATGTGTGAGCTTAGGTGAGTCACTCACTTCCTCTCAGCCTAGCATATGTCACAGGGTTGTCATGAGAAAAAAGTGTGAAGATGTGTATGGGGGTAGGGGGCTGACCATGTACAGTGGTACCTCGAGTTACAAACGCCTCAGGTTACAAACGCTTCAGGTTACAAACTCCACTAACCTGGAAGTGTTACCTCGAGTTGAGAACTTTGCCTCAGGATGAGAATGAAAATCATGTGCCGGTGGCAGCAAGAGGCCCCATTAGTGAAAGCACGCCTCTTGTTAAGAACAGTTCCACGTTAAGAACAGACCTCCGGAATGAATTAAGCTCGTAACTAGAGGTGCCACTGTACATTCAGCAGCAGAGCAAGCGTCTGGGGCGGTGCGCGTGCCCTGCATCCAGGGGCGGGGCCAGCCACCCGTGGGGGTGGGGCCAGCCACCTGCGGGATGGGGCGAGCTGGGGCAGGACAATCCGTGGGGCCTCCGAGGAGTCTGCCTGCGTCCTCCCACTCAGCCGCCCTACAGCTGGGAGGAAGGCAGCGGGCGGACCATTTGGGGCAGCAGGGAGGCGACGGGTGCCCAAGCCACAGTGTTACTCCCAGGAGAGATGCATAGCTCAGGCATGCTACAAGCCCTGTGGTGAGTGCCACCTGGCATTTTGTCATTCCCTCAGGGGTGACACCCAGGGCGACCCGCCTCTACTGCACCCCCCTTCCTCTGCTCCTGTGTACATTTCCTTAACTATTTGGAGAAAAAGTGGGATATAAATGTAATGTGCAAACAATAGCCCTTTCTCCATGCTGTTCTGATTAAAAGTGCACTCTTTCCGTATTATAATAGCCTCTACAGAGTGGGAGGAAATAGACAGGGGCAATATAGATACCTATCATTTTCTTCCATTGGTGGCAATAGCAAGTTCGGGGCGTGTAATTTTGATTGTGAAAATGGAACTGTTGGTTGGCATCCAACAGTCTTGGGAGACAATGGAGGAGCACAGCAAAGGAATTCAGCATTGCTCTCCCATTGCTGCTTCCTGAAGCCAATTCATGGCTTTTTTTAAGTTTGCTGTTTTAAAATGTTTTAAAGACATGTGAAATGTGACACCACCCCCCCAACTAAGAGGACAGGTCGTATAGAAATGAATAAGAGGGTTATGTGCCAGTCAAAGCAAAAATAAAATTAGTTAAATCACAATGGTGATCCTCATTTGGCTCCTACCTTACTAACATGTGGAACTGCACTAAACCCCAACATTCCCTTTAGTTCTACTTTAGATCAGGAAAAAGGATAAGAACAAGCATAAGAACACCAGATGTTGCAGTGGATGTGTGCAGTTCTACACCTTTAGTTTCATTATCGTCCTATGTCCTTGAGCCCTACCAATAGCCAAATAAAACCATGCTGCTTTTCCAAATCAACACATTCAAGCATTCCACTGTATCTGCAACCAATTAGTCAAAAATGGTACCAATTTAAGCTATAATCGTCTTAATCTTCCTATGCTGGTAAATTCCTAAATCCAGATTCAATATTTTGACAGTCCATTTATTTTATTTGAGAACACTGGCATTCTATATAGCAACATAGTGGAGGACACACAGTGAGTCCTTTAATAGAGCACAGAATTGGTTGGGTATTATTTAAACAAATAGGGGGAAAGATAGGAATCAGGTTTAGTTTGTTTGTTTGTTTGTTTGTTTGTTTGTTTGTTTGCTTGCTTGTTTGTTTCCAAAGTTGATAACCGATCACTGATTACCCAGATGTAATATCTGGCTTGGTCTTTAGTTACACCTGCTCAAAGCCTAGAACAATCAACATTAGATTGAAATGTTCCTATCATGTACACCCAGTGTAAGTAGGTCAATAGCAGTGTTAATAAATTTTGTGACAGTCTAAGTTGAGCTTTCAAAGCTTGCACTGACTCTTCAGTATGAACATGCAGTCTTAAAAAAAAGAGCCCAATATTTATTGTCAAGACTCTGAGGTTCTTCTGATACAACAAGCAGTAAAATATGCACATATGTGCAAGTTATGTTTGCCAATCTAAATACAGGCTGCACATGAGTGGAAAGCTTCATCATATCTGAAGGAAAATATGTAAAAAATAAACTAAGAGCTTCATATTTTTTCCAAGAAATTACTTTCCTTGGTTGATGCTTTTAACTGTTCTCATATTCCTGCATTTTCCAAGGGCCAAACTACATATTACATGGAGATCTGTGACAGAATCACACAACTTTCTATTTTTACTTTAATTCAGCCGCAGAAGGGTTGCCTATTTGATTTGAACACCAATGCTTCAGAAAGAGATGCTTAACTCCATCCTGCCATTCTTATTGAATTCCTTCTTCTGCCCAAGGCTGCCATTAGGCTTGTGGGAAAGGGAAATAATAAGCCTACCTAGGTTTTAATCAGCAGCACATCATAGAGGGAAGAGACCTGCTTCCCCCAGTGCAGCTGCTCTGATCTAGCTTGTACCACCACCACCACCACCACCATGCACAGAAATATTATTTTTAAAATGTTGGGAGAACCCACCACAATTTTTCTGCGAAACGCATGGTAAGTCCCTTAATTAGTGAAGTGCACAATAACACTAGCAATTTAAGGTGCTCTACACCTGAAGTACATTTTTTGGTTATTACAAAAGAAAAATATTTCTCAGCAGTGCTGGGGTTGAGATATGCCTGTTTCTTGCATCTAATAAAACATCTGTGTTGTTTAATCGTTTAGTCGTGTCTGACTCTTCATGACCCCATGGACCAGAGCACGCCAGGCACTTCTGTCTTCCACTGCCTCCCGCAGTTTGGTCAAACTCATGCTGGTAGCTTCGAAGACACTATCCAACCATCTCATCCTCTGTCGTCCCCTTCTCCTTGTGCCCTCCATCTTTCCCAACATCAGGGTCTTTTCCAGAGAGTCTTCTCTTCTCATGAGGTGGCCAAAGTACTGGAGCCTCAGCTTCAGGATCTGTCCTTCCAGTGAGCACTCAGGGCTGATTTCCTTAAGAATGGAGAGGTTTGATCTTCTTGCAGTCCATGGGACTCTCAAGAGTCTCCTCCAGCACCATAATTCAAAAGCATAAATTCTTTGGCGATCAGCCTTCTTTATGGTCCAGCTCTCATTTCCATACATCACTACTGGGAAAACCATAGCTTTTACTATACGGACCTTTGTTGGCAAGGTGATGTCTCTCCTTTTTAAGATGCTGTCTAGGTTTGTCATTGCTTTTCTCCCAAGAAGCAGGCGTCTCTTAATTTTGTGGCTGCTGTCGCCATCTGCAGTGAAATAAAACATCTACTGTGTTTAATTTGTTGGAAGCCACTCAGAGTGGTTGGGGGAACCCAGTCAGATGGGCAGCATATAAATAATAAATTGTTGTTGTTGTTATTACTGCCAATAATGACATATAAACCTAATTTCTAGAATCCAAATGTTGGCATTTCCATGAGTGGCACTATGAACGTGCTGCGTGTAAGAAGTTGATTGACTGATTGATTGATTGATTGATTGATTGATACACACTACAGTGGTTAATAGGAAATTGAGTTTCCCTTTAGAGTAGTGTCATGGCTGATGTGTTTCTTTTCATCATAGCCACCTGTGCTTAGAATGTACCTCACCCTCTGTTTCTTAGCTGCTGACAGACTCTCTACCAGAGGAAAAGACTGAGATTTGGGTGTGCATCATCGTGCCTTTGTTATCTCTGTCAACTTCCCCAGATTCCATGCCTTCAGTCGTTCCCGCAGTGGAATGTGTGAATGAACTTGCAGGGGTACCTAAACGAGGGCAAAATGATTGATCACATTTCTTTTCCCTGGCCTCTGAAAGGCTCTTCTATCAATCACTTAAAAACTTTGCTGGGCCAAGGACTTAGGCATGCAATTAACTTAAATGGTTCCAGTTGGTTTCCGTATAAATATTTACCCATTTAAATTTGAACTTCAACGTAATATCTTGTGTAACCTGCACTTTGTAGTGAAAAGACCCTGGCTGTGTGTGCATTGGAACTTCTCTCACATTGGGCCATGGTCACTCCCAAAGTTCCCACACTTGGGCAGGTAGATGATTCGTATCTGGTATCCTATCCTGGAAGGCTTGCTAGTTTTCCTGGCTAAGGAGAACTCAGATGGCACCTGGTTGATCCACAGCACTGATGATAGCATCTCCCTCTCTGACAATGACAGCTAGTTAGGAGACATTTGCTTGCATTTGTTGGAGCTTCCTGTGCTTTCACAAAACCAAGAGAAAGAGAGTTCTCAGAAGTGCGAAAAACAATTTATTTAAAAGGCCAATGTAGTTTTGAGGAATTCCTTAGTCAGGGGTATCTTTAAAAAGAGAGAGATGTACAAAATTATAAAAAATAATCTTTGAAGCAATTGAACAAGGGGCTAAAAATCTATACAAATGAAAATGTAACATTCCTGAACATGCATGTATACACTGCAGACGTGGTTATATTATCTTTTTACATCTCCATACATGAAGCTGGCCTCCTAGGACTACAAGATGTCACCAAAAGATTTGTTGGTTTGGCAATGCAGGCAGATGTACTGAGAGGGCTGCATGTCCTCAGTGGTATTTTGGCATCAGATGGGGGTGTGGTTTGGAGATTATTGGGGGTAGCCTCTCTGTGAGCCCTGTTCCAGCCTGTTCAGGGTGGCTAAGGACTATGGGAAAGCCCCATTGCTAAAGCAGAAGGCTTCCGCTGATGTTCTTATTAGGTGAACCCTGCCTTTCCTGAGCATTGTGAACAACTTTTTCTCTCCTACACAGCCCTGGTTTCAAACATCAGGATTTTCCAGGTATCTTATTCATATTTGAAAGCTTGGGGGGGGGGGCGGGGCGGACAACACCACTTCGGCTTCCATGCAATACACATTTTCTATTATCTCACAACTAACAAATATTTGTTATTATTATGATTATTTTATTATTAGGCTGTATGCTTTTCACTATGTTTTTATTATACTTTCATCATTGATGTTTTGTAATGTGTTTCTAAGGCTATACACCACCCTGAGATAAAGGGTGGTATATAAAGTGAATAAATAAATTAAACAACAACAACAGCAACAACAACAATAATAATATAACTATGTTCATGTTGAAATCAATACTCTGTAAGTTTTTCCACAGTTCCTAAAAGAAACATATTTTCCGCCAAGAACCCTTGTAAATTTCAGTAACACATTTTTACTCCAAATATGGGTTTAATTTAGTTTTAATAAAATATTTATAGCACAGCACATTCACCAAATACTAGCTGATTATTACAACCTGTTGAGAATTAGCACCTCCGTAACTTTTACTGGAGATACTATCATAAGCCTTTTAACTACTCCATCACAATTCAGATTCTGAGCAATATTAAAGAGCTAATACATCTCCTTTGCCTTAGCCCTCATGCCATGGAGGAAATGAACCAGGCCATGACCTATTGGAAGAAAAGCTAGCTCAATCTGGGGAGAAAGCCCTTCCTAAACTTATCACTGATACTCTGGGCATGAGTGACTGAGTCTGCATCCAGTCCGTATGATTTCAATAATGATTTCTTTGAGCACATTTCCCAGACATGAAATTATTTGGGAATCTGAAATTCTATACTAAAAATAGAAAGTATAATGAGGGGGTGCTTATTTAATTATTTGTCTATTCTTCGGCACAAATCTATTCAGTGTTGATGTGGATCAAAAACTAGGGCTATGGCAATTAAAATATCTGATGTTTATATATATATTTACTCTCAAGTAAACCCTACTGTGCTCAGTGGGCTTTCTCCCAAGAAAGTGTGCAGGGGAGGATTTCACATGCATTTACGCCCTATTAATTTCAATAAGAGAGTCAATCTAGTGCTTAAATATCACATATTAACCACCAAGTTCTGTGATCAGAATAAATCGTACAAATTAAGTACAGCTGCAAAAATGTATATAACATAATTTATCCTAACTATAGCATGTGAAAGTTCATGAAATGTGAAACTTTTTGGCAAGGGTTGCAGTGACACAGAGGAGAAGGAGAGAGGACGGAGACAGGTTTCCACAGGGTACAAAATAACGGGACAAAGCCTTTCCACTATGACAATGATTCTCAAACTTTTTTGTTTTCATTTTGTTTTGTTGTAGCACTCCAGGATTGCTGGGTGTCAGTAGCGAGGGAGGCTGGCTACATAGGCTAAATGACAAAATGCACTCTATGAAAAACAAGCACAGCTGACAAAATTTATGTCCATAATCTGTATACCACTTTATTACAATAATCTTTAGGCGGTGTAAAGGTAAAAGGGTTAGGCAGAAGAGATGAAGGCAGAAGAGAAGCTCGTGCATTTCTGGTTCAATACCCAGTATCTCAAGGTAAAGGTAAAGATAAAGGGACCCCTGACCATTAGGTCCAGTCGCGGACAACTCTGGTGTTGCGGTGCTCATCTCGCTTTATTGGCCGAGGGAGCCAGCGTACAGCTTCCGGGTCATGTGGCCAGCATGACTAAGCCCCTTCTGGCGAACCAGAGCAGCACATGGAAACGCCGTTTACCTTCCTGCCGGAGCGGTACCTATTTATCTACTTGCACTTTCACGTGCTTTCAAACTGCTAGGTGGCAGGAGCTGGGACCGAGCAACAGGAGCTCACCCCGTCGCAGGGATTCGAACCGCCAACCTTCTGATCGGCAAGTCCTAGGCTCTGTGGTTTAACCCACAGCGCCACCTGCTTCCCCTTTAAGTGGTGTACAAGACACTTAATAGAATAAAAATAAAGATGAGTTAAAACTATAAAATCGGAATTCACTTAAAATACCTGCTGGAATGAAAAAAGTATTTAATATTTAGTAAGCAGAAATGGTTTAACAGGGAAGGGGCCTGTCTTGACTTCAACTGAAAGAGGAGTTCTATAAAATTGGATCCACAATAATGAACACATAACTCCTGGTGGATCCGCATCATCCAGTTTGAGGAAGGGTGACATGTTGCTTCTGGATTTTTATTTTATTTTATTTATACTTGACAAGGTGGGATGTGTGCAGAGGAGGGCTACCAAGATGATAAAGGGTCTGGAAACCAAGCTATGTGAGGAATGGTTGAGGGAGCTACCTTCCAAGGGAATCCGTGGTGAAGGGCTAGATTTCCCTGTCCAAGATCTTTGCAAATACAGACTTTTTTTACCTTCACAGACTCTAAATGTAGTTCAGTAAGTAGGACACCTGATTCTTCATTATATCTACAGGTTGCTTGAATTTGAACCAGTCAGATGTTATAGGGAGCTCAGATAAATGTGAAGTTGATAGCATTCCCCTGTTGTTTGGTCAATACATGGTGGCTCTATGGTTAATGGTGTAAGTCAGGCATAGGCAAACTCGACCCTCCAGACGTCTTGGGACTACAACTCCCATCATCCCTGACCACTGGTCCTGTTAGCTAGGGATCATGGGAGTTGTAGTCCCAAAACATCTGGAGGGCCGAGTTTGCCTATGCCTGGTATAAGTGAAACTTTCTATGCAATGGTTGGAGGAATTTGTCTATCTGTCATGGTGTTTGATACATGAACTCCTCCCACCCGCCAATCTGCCACCGTGGTGTAGCTGTTACAAGTGTTGGACTATTTAAACCTGATGTGGACTGGACAGTCCTTCAGACAGAGGACCCCTTAAAATAGAGGCTTGCCCTTTGTAAAGTAGGACACATGGCCACTCAACATGAGAATAGTGACAAAGTGGCAATCAAGAATTGTCCAAAGACAAATCTGTCAACTGTCTAATGGCTAAGGTACACATCACCAAATATATTATAGTCTGCTTTTAAGAGACCTACCGTGCATTAGACAAAACATGAGAATTATCAGACAAAACAGCGGGGCAAAACTTACATTTCCTTTGCACAATATCTGCTTTCATTGTTGATCTTAGACTGACAACTTCTTTTAGTTTGCTGCCTGAAAAATGAAGATTATTTCTCTCAGCACTGAAGCCAGAATATGGCGCTTCAGTAAATCAAATCAGTCACAACATGCACAGCTCTGCACTACAGTTTGATAACATCAAGCCATTCAGTCTTCAAAATACCTGCTAGCAAGTCGGCAACAGGAAGCTGTTGAACCGTTGCATGAAAGACTGATAGAATCACAGCATGCTGCTCATAAAAAGCATAATAAATTATTATTTCTCTTACACGACTGTTTTCTAAGTGGTATTTCACTACCCAAAGAAATAATAGAAGAAACCTTTGTTTCAAAACTGGAACAAGGTGCTTAAATCATTCTTAAATTATAGCTTGAATTTGAAATGCTTTAAGTCATAGTACTGCGGAAGCCTTCAACAATAGAGTCCCTAGCTTAGAAAAGGGAGCCTTTAATGTGCTTGCCAGTGTACAATTATTTTAAGCAAAAATAACAATAGCACATGATACCCTCATGCTGACTGTTCTGAACTTTTAACCATGCTGAAGATGTTCTGAGTTATTGCCAAAACCTTTCTGCAACCTGTTAAGTATATGCTGTTATTTACTGTGCTGCTGTATGCAATTTTGCAAGGGGATTTAGCTTAGATTAACCATTATGAAAGCAGTTCATTCAATGGGCCCTGTTTAAAATGTTCTGTAAAGAAACTATTACAAAGGTTTGGCTGTTTTTCTTTTCAGAATGGTGAAAGATGGCCCCCAGCAAGCGAGGCAAAAGACAATACAGCTACAAAAGCCGTTGGGCTAGGCTCCCTGACCACCATGTTGGCGCTGGCCCCATTGCTTTCAGAATCAGCCCACAGATAGAGGAAAAGAATTAAAACCTAGGCACTTTAAAATTACTCTGTTCCAGTGTGAAATATACTGGGAGTCCTGCAGTGATTTCATGCTCTTTATTGCAGCTTATAAAACAGTGATTAAATTTCCCCCCAAACCTCAGGCCTTTATGTACATTATCTACACAATGAGTCCCATCTGATTGGCTGATTCTGCTTCCCTCCTGGAGCCTGATTGGTCTTCTCCTGCAAGCCAGTCAGATGTTGCATTCTAGGATCCTACCTGCCTATTGTTCTAGGATCCAAGCTTAGTACATAACACAAGTGCTTAATGCAAAATGTCCAAATGGGCAGAGGCGTAGCTGGGGGGCGGGGACTGGGCGCCACACCATGGGGAACGGCACTTATCATGGGGCCTGCAGCACTCCTGAGCCACATTTCTCTCCTGGGAGTGGTGCAGCGGCTCGGACACCTGCAGGCTCCACGCTGCCTGAAACGGCAGCGTAAGGCTTGCTTCTGCCCACTTCCTCCCCTTCAGACACCCTACAGCTGAGGGGCAGGCAGTGGGTGGACTGCCTGAAGGCTCTGCGCTGCTCAAAAAAGCAACTTGGGCCTGCAGGATGCCGGAGTGGAACGTGGCTCGGGCACTGGGATTCTGGCGCGCCCTGACCCGTCCTGCCCTGCGGATGCCCATAAGTCAGGGAGTGCCAATGTGCTCATGTCCTGCTTGTGAGCATCACACAGGCACCTGGTTGTCTGCTGTGAGACTAGGACACTCGACTTAGATGGGCCCTTGGCCTGATCTAGCAGGGATCTCGCATTATTTCCCAGGACAAATCATGCTGGGCACTTGTAAAATCTGACGCAGATGATGTGCTAATAGTTTGAGAATTCCATTTACTTTATCACATCTTTCTAGTCTGTTAGGAATCATTCAGGCATAGCAGTTTCTTTAATTTATTTGGTAACATTGTGATGCTTGAAGCTCCTCTGGAATGTCATTCCGGGGCTTTCTGTCAACCCTTCTTGAAAAGTTTAAGGACACGCTGGTATCTTTTACCTTTTCAATTTGTGGGGGGCTTGGAATAGCTCCCTTAAGTAACATTGCAAGAAACTGGAGCATATCTGAGTTAATAAGCAGCCTTATTAAGCCTTTTAACAACAGGTTTCTTTCACTGCTCTGGCATGTCAGTGATTATTCTAATGCTGATGCTTGATGTGGAGGACTGAATAATGACAGCAGGTACCCGCTGGAGGCAATGGTTTTCTTTAAACTGGCCTCCAATTAATTATGCTCAGCAGGTTCAAAGGTCAAAAGCATGGACTTCTGTGATTGGGCACCTTGCATAGAGTGCGTGGTCCTCGGAGGAGCAGTTGACATATTTGATTTTTCCCACACACAAACTGTTGGTACAAGATGTAATCTACAGAATGAAAGGACTGGGCAGGGTGATTGGGACAGTTCCTCCCAGAGGGTTAGAACTGCTACCCTAATCGTAATGTTCACTTTCCTTGGCCCCAGGACAGGTGAGGTGTCAAGCTACAAAGAGGCACACATGGAAATGAATAAGGATTAAGCCACCTTGATTACGAATATATCACTGTGACAACGATAGTGTAGTTGAGTGGGGGTTGGAGGAAGAGAGAGAGGAAATCAGAGTTAGTGTTAAACAAAATAGGGGAAAAAATCCATTTATTTCTCTCTCTTTTGAGAATGTGGCCTCATTTCCTTTCTGGGCTACTTGGTTCATTTCTAAAAGTATTGCTTGATCTTAAGCCCAATTGAATCAATGGCACAATCTATTCAGGCACCACAGTTAGAACATTCTGTTCCCTATTTCAAATGCAGTTTGAATCTTCATTGCAAACTATGTAAAGACTGGAATATTAAAAGACTGGAATACCAGTTTGCTAAATTTCAGTTTTCCTCTGATGTTAGGGTTGAAAATCCGGAAACAAAAGTTGTTGAGCTGTTTTAAGTTTAGTCCAAAGCTGTTCATCTTTTTTTGCAAGATCTCAAAAGAAGAAGTTTCTAAGTTATTTTAAAGGAAATTCGCCAAAATCTACTTCCAAAATGGGTTGCCATACATCTGGATTTCCCCAGTCATTTAACCCTATCTGTTGTTATTATTTTAGCAACAACACATAAAAAATGCTTTCTAAAGAAATTGTTTCAAGGGCAAAAATTTACACAGACTTCTATCAGCCAGTGGCTGTATTAGGGCATCATGATAAACCATGGTTTATTATGTGAGAAGTGAGCATGCCTAGCCTGTCCCTGCAGTTCATACTTTCTCCCCCTTTCCCTTTGCTGTGGCCTCGAGGAGGAAATTGGAAGGTTTTACTTCCAATCCAGTTATCCACAATTTAGCATTACATTTGAACCCTAAACTGTGGTTAATCTTAACTATGGTTGAATAAAGTCAGCTTCCTAAACCATGGTTTGAAATTGTCTTGTTTTTTAAAAACACAGTTTAAATTAAACAGTTTGTCAGATTTAGATAACATGGTGAAACACAGTAAATTAAAAACAGTAGTGAAATCTTCTGAACCTCTCATTGTGGCTGCACTGGAAGAAAGAAGGAAGCATGAGAATTGGGGGGGGGTGTCAGGTGCTTGGCTTGTTTCCCTCATGATACACCATGATAAACATCTTCCACTCTGGTTCTGGATTATAACCTACTATTGCTAACTGACAGTGTGAACAGAGCATTACTCAAATAGTCAGGTACTGAATATTCACCTGGAATCTATTTAACTGGCCCCCAGTTCCCCTGATATCTTAAGCGTTGTGCTAGATGAAACCGGTATAGAACTTTTCAGTCTGTTTTTAATCTCTCATATATATATATATATATAATTTTAAAGGCCCAGTATTTTGATAAATTGCCACCAGTGTCCTTTATGTGGTGGCAACTGGGAAGGAGGAAAAAAAGAGAGCATGATTTCTGAAAATATAAATTGATCATTATTCATATAGCTAGTCAGTCTGAACTAAAACCTTCTGGTTGAAAACAAAAGAATTTTTAGGGAAGTCAGTCTGGATCTATAACCAGATTTGCCTCAGATTTTAAATGACATCATTATCCAGGCACCATCTCTGTAAATCAATGGCTTTATTTCAAATCTGAAGAAAATGGCCTTCTATTTGCGGTTTAGACAGTGACGGATCCTAAATACTCAAATGCTAACCATAACAACATCAGGGGTTTCGGCCACATCTGAAATCACCCCTAACAAAATAAAAAGTAAGGCAAATTACATTTCCAGCACACACACATACAACTAGCAATGTGTCCTATAGTAAACTAGCAAGTGTTTATACTACAATTGCTTGTGCATTAATATTTACACTGCCATTCAATCTCATCAGGACTACTAAGAGTTTTCTAAAATTTAGCAATCATTCAAACCGGATTTTGTTTTGTGTTGGCTGAATTACATGTCAAGATTTCTAACTAGAAATGTGTTTGTTTTGACATCAGCTTCATAATATGTCCAGTGATAATGCCCCTCATATTTGGATATTTAATTTTTTATTTTATTTTAAAAGAAATGCTTAATTTCCCCCTCTCTTGAAGTGTTAAATTAATTTTCTCAAACAATTAAATGTAACAGATGAGAAAAGGCCAGGACTCAGTGGAAGAATTTACAGTGTTGATACACATGTGTGACAGAGTGCACATTTTGCATGAAAAGGTCCCAGGTTCAATCCAGGTCTCTCAAGGTAACCTGGGAAGGACTCCTGTCCAAAACCCAGGAGAGCCGCTGCTAGTTTGTGTAGGCAGTGCTAAGCTTGACCAATGGACCAGTGGTCTGGCTGAGTATAAGGCAGCTTTAGATGGTCCTTCCTAAGTACCATGGCCAAATACAACACATTATTATTATTATTATTATTATTATTACTACTACTATTTAAAGGTAAGGTAAAGGACCCCTGGACGGTCAAGTCCAGTCAAAGGCAACTATGGGGTGTGGCGCTCATCTTGCTTTCAGGCCAAGGGAGCCAGTGTTTGTCCACAGAGAGCTTTCCAGGTCATGTGGTCAGCATGATTAAACTGTTTCTGGTGCAACAGAACACTGTGACAGAAGCCAGAGCGCACAGAAATGCTGTTTACCTTCCCACCACAGCAGTACCTATTTATCTACTTGCACTGGCATGCTTTCGAATTGCTAGGTTGGCAGGAGCTGGGACCGAGCAACGGGTGCTCACCCTGTTGCGGGGATGCGAACTGCCGACCTGATCGGCAAGCCCAAGAGGCTCAGTGGTTTAGACCACAGCGCCACCCATGTCCCATATTACTGTGCACAATCACATGGGCATTAATCCCCCTTTTAACCATGATTGCTCCTGTAGGTTCTCCACTGTGATGTCAAAAGGATCCTCCCCCCAATGTTTCAATTACAAAATTTAATGTGGCGGTGGCGGTTCATGTGGCCTCCCTCTCTTCAAAAAAGTCCTTTATTTAAAATATGAAAATTAAAGTTTTAAACTAAATGTAATAAATATTTTCATTAATATAGACAGGCAAATAGGGAAGTCCTTTGGAGGGCAGCCTGGAGTTCTTCATGTCCATGTTGACAATTTGACTATGCTCACGTTGACATGCAGTTCTTGAAGGGTTGACTATAGGTCAGTTGTTAGTCTTACAAAATTAGCCAGCCCTGCTCTAATGGATACATATGCAGCACAGTGCACCAGCCGTTACCCAGCATGGAGGGCCTGCCTAAACCCCTCTGAGAATTCATCAAGGGAATATATATTTTTATACAAATAAAGCAAAGGCAGTTGGAACACGTTCATCTAACACCTCTTGATGGTGGTGGTCAAAAATAGTCTGAGCCTCAAATTGGCAGATTTCACTTCCACATCTTTGGGTGGCCTTCAGGGATTAGCAGATTCGAGCGGCCGTGGTTTAAGCATACTTCTAAATGAACCTTGGAGTCTCAGATGGTTTTCAAATGCCTTTTTCAAAGGGATGACAGAAGAACACATTCTGCTTGCCTTCATTTGTGTGTAAAGATGTATCTTGTTGGAAGGAGTTGCCCTTATTTCTTTATTTAGAGAATGTATAGTATATACCACACATTATTGGGGAATGGGGGAGGTCCTAGGTTAAAAGGTAAAGGGTAAAGGGACCCCTGACAGTTAAGTCCAGTCGCAGATGACTCTGGGGTTGTGGTGTTCATCTCACTTTACAGGCCGAGGGAGCTGGCGTTTGTCCGCTCTGCAGGCAGTTTTTTGGGGTCATGTGGCCAGCATGACTAAGCTGCTTCTGGCGCAACGGAACACTGAAACCAGAGCAGTGCATAGAAACACCGTTTACTTTCCCACCAGAGCGGTACCTATTAATCTACTTGCACTTTTTGGCCTACTTTCGAACTGCTAGGTTGGCAGGAGCTGGGACTGAACAACAGGAGCTCACCCCGTAGTGGAGATTTGAACCACCGACCTTTTGATCAGCAACCCCAAGGCTCAGTGGTTTAGACCACAGCGCCACCCGCGGCCCGGTCCTAGGTTGGTTTACATTTTTAAAAATGCAATACAGTCATACCTCGTGTTGCGTTCTGCTCTTGTTACAGACTTTAAGCTTATGAACGTGGCAAACCTGGAAGTGTTTACTTCCAGGTTCACCCCCCGAACATAGGCAGAAGTGATCTGCACGCTTTGCACACGTGCAGAAGCACTCGATTACGCCGTGCACATGCACAGAAGTGGCGCTCTAGTTGAGGACTTTTCGCACCCTGAAACGGATTAAGTCCGCAATTAGAGGTACCACTGTATGAATATAAAATACAATCAGCATAAAAATGGAATGCTAATTAAACACAACAGAGAGGTGTTGCCCGACACCTAAACAGCAAAAGTGTCAGGTGGGTCCCTCTGGGAGAAAACTTCACTGATGGGGTGCACAACTAAAACACCCCTTTCTTGAACACCACAAACCTTCCCTCCAGTGGTGGGGGGCCCTGAAGAAAAGCATGGACAGATTATTTTGCTATCTAGGCAGGTTGATATGAATCAAAGGTGATCCATAAAATACCCGAGGCCCAAGCCATTTTGAGCCTTAGACTGTAACATTGAATGGTCATGTTGGAGATGAACCAGCAGTCAGTGAAGTTCTCTGCGATACTGGTGAGGAATGTTCCCAGTAACCTATACCAGGTAAAAGTTTTATAGCCACATTCTGCACTAGCTACAGGTAATAAACCATTTTCAAGGACAGCCACACCTACAATGCATTGCACTAGTTTAATCAGTCCAATAAGCTATCAGACCATGGATAAGTGCGTCCAGACTGTCCCTTTCTAGGAGAAGCTGAAGTTGGCATATCAGACTCAACTGTTAAAAGGCACTCCATGCCACTGAGGAGACTTGGGTCCCTGAATTATGAAACTTTTCCCTTTAGGGGGAACAGGCTGAACGCCAACTCTCTGAACCTGGGAACCGCCTACAAAACTCCACTTTTTTGGAACTGAGCTTCAGTTCATTGGCTGCCCTTTAGTCCATTGCCAAGACCACACACCACTTTAATGCTCCCGCCACCTCTCCTGGCCCTGATGCTAAGGACAAATGTAGTGAAAGTCACCTCTCCTGCCCTTTCTGCAAAGGGGAACTCTTGATCAAAGCCACTGCCCGAACCATTGTCTATATTTTTAATGCCAGACAACTCTAATTCCAAAAGCAAGCACAGAAGCTCGTTCATAATGAAAGTACTTGACAGCAGTAGCAGAAAGTAAGTACATGCTAGTAATGAGCTATAAGACTTCTATATAATAGTATAGAGGCTATTAAGGCAAAGAGAACTTTGCAAGTCAGAAAATGCAGAAACCCTCTCTGCCATTTTTAGAATATGGATCTTTTAAGGAATGGCCCTACTAACCAAAATGCATGTGCCTGCTAGATCACTACTGTGTATTAGGTCTAGAAGGTCTTTTGTTTCCAGACAAACCTGTCTAGATGTTGTTTCCCATATGCTGCAAAAACAGAGCTGCCACAAATGGTCCACTATTAGTAATTCATGTATGGTTTCTCAGAAGGCAGCTTTCAGAAAACAGGTGTGTCCCAGGCATTTCTCAAGTAGGTCACTAGGGGGATTAGATTTCAGGCCAGCAACTATTAAGATAAGGCACACTGCCATGTTAAAGAATTCCATGTGTCATTATTTCTCCTCAATGCTTTTATGAAGAGTGGAATAAATATGCTTTGGAATTTCTCGGAACTGCCGAGAGTTAGCCGTACTAGGGGGACCTAAACGTACCACATGTTTTGCAGACAAAAAACAAAAATGTTTATTTTTGTACACTACCTGCTAAGTAATTTTCTACTATTTTAATGGACGTTAGCAGTCATTGCTTCGCATTCCGCTGCATGACTAGAATCTCCCATCTTCACTTCCTCTTGCCTCCATTTCCTCCTTTTAAAAGTAGAGATTGTTTCCTTATTTATGCTGCCAGATTGAGAAGCTGAAACATTGACGGTGAGTTGGCCAGCCTTCCAGGGTGTCCAAGGAGACTGCTCAGCCACAATACACAATGGGAGCTAATTGCCTAATAAATATGTGGACATCAAAAGGCTATAAATCTGGTGCACAGGTGCTATCCATTTAAACCACAAGAACAACTACCTAAAGCTTGAAAGTACAAAGAAAGAACTTGAACTTGAGGGGTGTGTGTGTGTGTGTGTGTGTGTGTGTGTGTGTACTAGACTGAAACAGGGCTGGAAATCCAGAGCATTGCTTGGTATATATCAGAGGCTGACAAAAATATTAATATAAAAAAATCCAGCCAAATGTGGTCTAAGTTCTATGTTCCCTTTTTGTTTTGTGAGTAGGGTTGCAAGGGGTTGAGCAGTAAGGGGGTTAGGAAGGATAGACTCCAGATGTTGGCTTGAAAAATGACAACAATCCGAGTTAATCCCAACAGAGAATGTTCTTAATCAACAGCCTGCAAATTCTGGTGGTATATAAGCCTTACATCAGACTTTCGGTCCCATTTAACCCAGGGCATTATCTGTGCCAGGAGCGATGCTGTTTTCTGACCGCATTTGTATTACAACCTTATTCGTATTCAGAGGAAGTGCCCCAGGTCAATGAGTGTTCAGCTAGGTAACCCCGAAGGTCAGGTTTAATTGCCCTAAAAGGTGGCACATGGCAACGAATGATCTCTAATGATTTAGATAGTATCTATTTCACATAAAGACGTTTGGACTCTGAAGAGACCTCATCGAAAGTAATCTGAAAATTAGTGAAAATAAAAACCATGCACACAGTTACCTAAATACCTATTTCCTTTCATTTTCTGCCCTAAATGACCCTGTCTTGGGGACATTACATTTTTTTTTGTTTTCACTAATATGCAATTGCCTGAGAGAAATGTTAGATGATAATCACTCATTACCAATCTGCGACATAGAAAATATTATTGTTCTAATTAAATGCCAAATACAAGGGAAAGTGGGAGAAAGAATTGTTTCTTAACCTAAAAAAAAGGGGGGGCCTTTGAATTCAATTTCCATAGATCTTCTCTTGGAACAGTACTTTTGTGGATGTCTTACCGATCGGTCCCATGCATATTTCAACTGCAAACAGTATATTTAGAGATGAAGCCTTTATGGTATATTAAAGTCACTCTTAGACTGATCTGTCTAAATTAAAAGACGCCTGCTTCTTGGGAGAAAAGCAATGACAAACCTAGACAGCATCTTAAAAAGCAGAGACATCACCTTGCTGACAAAGGTCTGAATAGTTAAAGCTATGGTTTTCCCAGTAGTGATGTATGGAAGTGAGAGCTGGACCATCAAGAAGGCTGATCGCCAAAGAATTTATGCTTTTGAATTATGGTGTTGGAGGAGACTCTTGAGAGTCCCATGGACTGCAAGAAGATCAAACCTCTCCATTCTTAAGGAAATCAGCCCTGAGTGCTCACTGGAAGGACAGATCCTGAAGCTGAGGCTGCAATACTTTGGCCACCTCATGAGAAGAGAAGACTCCCTGGAAAAGACCCTGATGTTGGGAAAGATTGAGGGCACAAGGAGAAGGGGACGACAGAGGATGAGATGGTTGGACAGTGTTCTCGAAGCTACCAGCATGAGTTTGACCAAACTGCGGGAGGCAGTGGAAGACAGGAGTGCCTGGTGTGCTCTGGTCCGTGGGGTCACGAAGAGTCGGAAACGACTAAACAACTAAACAACAACAGTCCCATGCTTTATACTTGTGCTTCATTTGTAACATGTGATTCATAAGCTTCCCCCTACACACACTAGTACGGAGTTGGTGCTTATTTCCTCATAGGAGATATGCAGCTATGTCTTTGGACATCACATAGGAATTGCATGCAGAAGCAATTCCTTCCCATGCTCTTCCAGAAATAACACACTACATCACCTCCAAAATTGTGGATTGACATCGGGGGTGGAACAGTCTTTATTCAACCCTTTTCAAGTCACTATTTGCTCAGTCCCAAATAACTGTCTGATATTTAGGTGTCCCTTTGGTTGTGGAACAGAAGGTTGGTGGTTCGAATGCCCGTGATGGGGTGAGCTCCCGTTGCTCGTTCCCTGCTCCTGCCAACCTAGCAGTTCGAAAGCACACCAAAAAGTGCAAGTAGATAAATAGGTACTGCTCCGGCGGGAAGGTAAACGGCATTTCCATGTGCTGCTCTGGTTTCTCCAGAAGCAGCTTAGTCATGCTGGCCACATGACCCAGAAAAACTGCCTGTGGAAGCGGACAAACGCCGGCTCTCTCGGCCTGTAAAGTGAGATGAGGGCCGCAACCCCTGAGTCATCTGCGACTGGACTTAACTGTCAGGGGTCCTTTACCTTTACCTTTTTTGGTTGCGGAAACAATTCTCTGTGTTGTCTTTGTGGTTATTTCTGTGGCAATGGTTCATCTTCAGTGGAGATGATGTTCTCCAGTGTCACAGAATCATCATCAAATTGTAGAGCTGGGGCACCTAGTCTAACTTTCTACAATGCAGGAATCATAGCTAAATGATCAAGGGTAATAATGGTTATACCATGGTCAATAACACAGAGGGAATGCCAATATTGCAGGCAAGATGGAGGAAGGACCTCCAATGGGCAAGTTATAAGCATGAATTCTAGAAGCCATTAAAAAAATATATTCAAAAACACACAATGAAATATATGAACTGCTCCTATGAAACTATGAGCTAGCTATGAAGGATTGCACTTGAGGCGAAGGGAAGAAAAGGAAAAAAGAAAATTGAGCCCTTTCAAATCATTTAATGTGCTTGAGTGAGATACGTGGCCCTCAAGCGTTAAGGAAAGGGTTGAAGTAATAACCTGAAAATTCCTTGAAGATGTTCCAAGAAATATTGAATCTAAGAAAGTAAAAATGCCATACAGTCTACATGAAAGAGAAAAAGTAAAGTGAAATGGAATCTGTCATATTTACACAGAAATGGACAGTTATGTATATACAGTAACTGCAAGACTATTGGATTCTTGTTACATTTTTCTTCCTGAAATACTGAACTGATTTCAGTAGAGTGTTTTTAGCCTTTTGCTTATTGCCAATGGGGATATATATATATATATATATATATATATATATATATATATATATCCTTAAAAGAATAAGTAATCTTCATACATAGCAAAAGTAATGTATAGCTTTAAGGAACTCATTGGGTTTAAAATATATATGGATATGGATATAATGATGTGTTGTCTGACTGCCAGTGAGCTTTAAAAAAAGTAAATTTCCTTCCATCTGCTGATGTGATTTCCACGTTCTAGACCTAGTCTGTTGGCTGATTCACACGAACCTGAAAACAGATATATAGTTTGAGAGACTGCAGGCAGTTTGGGAGTCAGAATTGTGTTATTGTTTCACATTGTGCTCAAGTTCGAAGGCCTAGTTAATATATTTTACAGTAGCATGGGAGCGATTTCCTTACGGGCTAGATCCATGCTGCTTCAGTAATGGGGGGGGGGGGATAATATGAATTGACCGAAATGGTTTCTTCCTGTGCCACTTTTACCCTCCTAAAAGTTGAACAAAGTTGACTTGGCAAGAAACCATGTCATATGTGCAGAGCTGTGTGGTTCTTTCATATGGAGCAGGGGGTAGCCAATGTGATACCGACCGGATGTTTATGGTCCACAACTGTCATCAGCTGCACCCAAAATGGCCAATAGTCAGGGATGATGGAAATTGTAGTCCAGAAAAAAGTGGAAGATACCATATTGACTACCCTGATCTAGTCATTACCACAGTAAGTGGGCCTGGAAATGGCTCTTCCACCATTGCAAGTTTGGGCCAAAGTTTGGTCCCACGTCTGAAACTGTTGATGATGACTACGGTAGTCCTTAGCTTTTAATAGCCAAAGGAATTAGACCAGCTGTACAGCAACTGTCTGTGCTTTCTAGCATTAATGATAGAAAAGAGACAAGGTGCGACTGAGTGCCAAACGATGCAATGCTCACTTACATATAGTTTGTCCCAGACTTTGTTTTATAAAGTGCAGCTATGGAGGCTGCATGCTAAAAGGGGAAAGCAGTGCATTTTATATATGTGTGTATATGTTTGTGTTTACCTTAGCTCATCTTGCTTGTGCTGTTTTTTTGGGGGGGGGGACCGGTGGGAATCCCTCAATGAGGGGAAAAATTTAGCTGTGAGCCATTTTTAGCAGGCAAAGGGACAAGGGGAAAGAGAAAGGGCCCCTCCAGACCTTTTTGGCCGCCGCATTCATGATGTTTTGTGATGATACTGGGGTGGTTATACGCAACCCCATTTTCAATACTGTTTGTACCTGCAGATGTTTTGGGGTGAACATTCTGCTTCACCTCCAATTGATGCACACCCTATAGCTGAAATCCCTTATCTTTTCCTGCTACAAATGTTGGGGTGGTGTTGGTCTCCCTTTTCTAACTCTATAGTGCAAGAGTGCCTCTCCAGATGGCAATAATGCAGTAACTGAGAGCCAGTGTGGTGTAGTGGTTAAGAGCGGTAGTCTCCTAATCTGGTGAACTGGGTTCGATTCCCCGCTCCTCCACCTGCAGCTGCTGGGTGACCTTGGGCCAGTCACACTTCTCTGAAGTCTCTCAGCCCCACTCATCTCACAGAGTGTTTGTTGTGGGGGAGGAAGGGAAAGGAGAATGTTAGCCGCTTTGAGACTCCTGAAGGGGAGTGAAAGGCGGGATATCAAATCCAAACTCTTCTTCTTCTTCTTCTAACACTGGGGAAGCATCACAGAGCAATTGAGAAAGTGGAATGGCATGTGGTCAGTCCAATATATATCTGCCACTACTGTACTATTAGAACATCAGTGACACGTTGCAGAAGACACCTGCCCGCCACACAAAAAGAGTGGAGGGACCCTAAGATCCCCTTTGCCATGATCTGGTCTTCTACTTCAGTTTGCAATCCTCAAAGCTGCAAGTTATATTACTGGCAGCCAAGTATTGTGCTTACTTTGGTCCTAGGCTGTTGTTGTTTTTAAAATGTATACTGTCTTTCATCCATGATTCAAAACAACATAGAAACATAAAATACATGATAAAAACAAGAATTAAATAAAACACAAACCAATAACTCCCCCCTCCATCCCAACTAGTGAGTAAAATAGTATAGGGCTACATTTACCAGTGACTGGTAAATAGAACCACTGTGTTATAGGTAAAAAAAAGGGTTAGGCAGAAGAGATGAAGGCAGAAGAGAAGCTCGTGCATTTCTGGTTCAATACCCAGTATCTCAAGGTGAAGGTAAAGATAAAGGTAAAGGGACCCCTGACCATTAGGTCCACTCGCGGACAACTCTGGGGTTGTGGCGCTCATCTCGCTTTATTGGCCGAGGGAGCCGGCGTACAGCTTCCGGGTCATGTGGCCAGCATGACTAAGCCACTTCTGGAGAACCAGAGCAGCACACGGAAACGCCGTTTACCCTCCTGCCGGAGCGGTACCTATTTATCTACTTGCACTTTGACGTGCTTTCAAACTGCTAGGTTGGCAGGAGCAGGGACCGAGCAACGGGAGCTCACCCCATCGTGGGGATTCAAACTGCCGACCTTGTGATCGGCAAGTCCTAGGCTCTGTGATTTAACCCACAGCGCCACCCGCGTCCCTCTATCTCAAGGTAGGGATGGGAAAAATCGCTGTCTGAAATCATGGAGAAATGCTACCAATCCGTGTAGACAATACTGGGGTAGCAACAATAGTCTGACTTGCATTTTCCTACCGGAAACAGCAAATGAGGGATGAATGAAGAATCCAGGCCACTGGGTGGAGGCATTTGGGGCTGGCTATAACATCACACTCTTCCAAACACTTATTCAGAGGGATGGAATAAACCAAATGGAGAAGTGAATCGGAATCCAGATGCAATTCTTAGGTTTAAAGAAACATACTTGTTAACGATTTCTGTCTCTCTTACGGTATTTTGCTGCAGAGCAAGGCCATTTTAAAATACAATTTGCATTTGTTAAGATATTGATCCCAGTTGCACCACTTAAAGCCCACAAATTTCCCCAAATTCAATAACTATGTTTACACGCAGTAGTCAAAGAGGAAATTGCATGTGAAAGCACTTTCTAAGGAGATGGTATTTTGTTGCAATTATGCATAAGCTGTATGTTTACATCAGGGTTTTAAGGAGAATTCAAAGCATATCTCCTTTTTGTGATGCATCAACAAGCATATCAAATGAGTGTTCAAACGCTTGTTCGCTTTATAAAATAAGAACCAAATGGCTGAGTAATTTCCAACCCCACAAAACTGCTAGAGCAATTCCATGGTCTATTTAGAACATATTTATAAAACCTTTTAAATAATAAAACTCTACACTCAATCTTTAAAAACCTACCAGATCTGTTGGACTCACATTTCCAAACATTGTGCATTGCAGAACTATTATATTAAACGCATTTTTTTCCACCATAGATCATGCATGCCACACTTTCTCTCCATTAGGCCTTTGGCAGCTCTTGAGATTGAATTTGGTTTATTTGTTGGTTTGTTTGAATGAGCTGCTTTTGGGCAGGTGACCTATCACAACAATCATTCACAGAGCCTCATAGAAATGACTGGGCCAATGGCATCAACTTTTCCTTTGTCTATACTATGCCCTTGTGCAGAAACAGCAAAGCCATATTGCTGTCATGAGGAGAAGGGCTAGAGCCTGGTGGTAGAGTACAGATAGAAAGTCATAAAGGTTCCATCCCCGGCTCATCTAGGTTCACTGAAGAAAACCCATAGACCCACTGTGTATCATCAGGTGGACTAAGCATTATGCCACTAAGCACCACCTGCTGAGAACTGCAGGTGGCCAGAGTCCTGTTGCAAGCTTCCTGCAGGCATCCGGTTGGCCACTGTGAGAACAGGATGCCAGACTAGATGGGCAATTGGCCGGATCCAGCAGGGCTTCTTTTATTCTATTTTATTTATTAGATCTATATGCCACCCTTCATCATAAGATCTCAGGGCAGTTCACAAAATAAAATACAGGATCAAAGCAGGTACAGTGGTACCTCGGGTTACATATGCTTCGGGTTACATACGCTTCAGGTTACAGACTCTGCTAACCCAGAAATAGTACCTCGGGTTAAGAACTTTGCTTCAGGATGAGAACAGAAATTGTGCTCCGGCGGCAGCAGGAGGCCCCATTAGCTAAATTGGTGCTTCAGGTTAAGAACAGTTTCAGGTTAAGAACAGACCTCCGGAACGAATTAAGTACTTAACCTGAGGTACCACTGTATTAATCAGCCCAAGGCCTGGTTGAAGAAGAACGTTTTTGCCTGGCACCTAAAAATATATAATGAAGGCACAAGACAAACCTCTCTGTTAAGTGTATTCCACAAACAAGGAACCACCACAGAAAAGGCCTGTTCTCATGTTGCCTCCGGACCTCACATGGAGGAGGCACAAAAAGAAAGGCCTCAGATGATGGATACAAAGTCTGGGATGGTTTATATGGGGCTTATGTTCTTATGATCTATTTTGGCATAAGTACAGTGGTGATGTGTCCTACTTTACACAAGACAATCCTTCATTTGAAGGGCTGTTGAGTCCAAGTTTTTCAGGGAGTCTGAAGTTGCCAACAACAGATAGCAGCTGCATGGCAGACTAATAGGTCACCTGGAGCATAGGAAGCTGCCTTTTGGTCCATCTAGCTCTGCATTGTCTACATTGACCGGCAGTAGCTTTCCAAGATTTCAGGCAGGAGTCTCACCCAACCCAACCTGGAGGGACTTTTTGCTTTGCAAGGCAGACGCTCAGCTACTGAGCTTTCCCACTAAATTACCGTTTAAATTATATAAGTTATTTCTTTCAACACATGCAAATTTACATTCAAATAAATTAGCATATGCAGATTTCATGCAAATCCACATCCTTTTTTGATGATGTATTTCTTCCTTCTGGCAATGCATACATGATCACCCTCAATAAAAGGCAACTTCTTGTTTCCCTTGTACATGGCCTCATTGGGATTTTGGGGAAACATTTCCGAGTTAGTGTACAGTGGTGCCCCGCAAGACGAATGCCTCGCAAGACGGAAAACTCGCTAGACGAAAGAGTTTTCCGTTTTTTGAGTCGTTCCGCAAGAAGAATTTCCCTATGGGCTTGCTTTGCAAGATGAAACGTCTTGCGAGTTCTTGAGAGTTTGTTTCCTTTTTCTTAAAGCCGCTAAGCCGTTAATAGCCGCTAAGTCGCTAATAGCTGCTAAGCCGCTAAGCCGCTAATAGCCGTGCTTCACAAGACGAAAAAACCGCAAGACGAAGAGACTCGCGGAACGGATTAATTTCGTCTTGTGAGGCACTACTGTATTTCCAAATGTAAACTAAATAAGGGCTCATTGCAAAGGTATACACAAAACAGTGTTGTTGTTTTTAAAAAAGCAAATGGAATCATAATCCCTGGGAAATGGCATATCTGATCCAAACCCACCTTTTAGTTCTTAATGGATGCCAAACTGATTTACATTCATTACCAAGTGTAGCTTGTCTGAGAATAACAGAAAGGCAAATGTGCTCACAGCAGCATTGATTTTCAAAAGGAGGGGAATAATTTTTCTGATTAATTTCAGGTTGGAAAGTCTCAAATTCAACCCAAGAATGGGGTTTTTTAAAAAAACAATTTAACTCCCCAACACACTTTTCTTATCTTTCTTCTCCCTCTGGCATCAATGAGAAGTTTTCAGCTCCTAAAGGAATTGATCATTCAAAGCAGCCTGGAAGGCTGGATATGAAGCTAACAATATATTTGCTTCCTAATAGCCTTTCAGCTCAAGTCTTATTACTTAAAGTTGTTGTTGTTGTTGTTAGATCAAATTCATAGCGTGGAGACTAATTCTGTCCATATACCGAGTATGTAAAGGAATGATGTATTTTAAACCTCACTTCTGTAGTGGTGATCACACAAGGGCTGTCGTCTATTCTCCAAAGTACAAGGGGTTGCAAACATGTCCCCGTACACCTCAAGTGTTCTCCTAGTGAGGGGAGGGGACATAGTTTAGTAGCAGAACACCTGCTTTGTATGCAACAGGTTTAAGTTAAATCCCTGGGATCTCCAGGTAGCATTTGGAGAGACTCCTGCCTGAGTTCTTGGAACATGGCTACCAGTCACTGGAGATGCCAAGCCAGATGGACCAAATGTTTGAATTAGTATAAGGTAGGGTGGGGTCTGTCAGATTTGGATGCATCCTGAATCCTGAGGTATAGTCCTCAGAAGGATTTTGGCTCATCGAAGGCAAAGTAGGAGCTCTATGAGGTGGCACGAGTCAAAAGTGGAGGCCCCAGAAGTGCTTCCTGGTGTCTAGATCCTGATAAAAATGAAAGCATTATCTCTAAGCTTACCATAAAGCCAAGGTGGGATGATGTGAGAAGGTAGAGCACAGACTAGAGAGAAGAGAGGGCGGAAGGGGAGTTCCATTGTGAGAAACAGGTCCAGCTTGAAAAGGAGGGAAATGTGTTACACAGAAAGTGACTCTCTTTTTATATAGATGCAAAATATTGCTTTGGATTATTCTGATTATCTTAAAACAGTCAAGCAAGAGAACTGTAAGGCAACCTGAGAAAATGCCTCTGACTACATGGCAGTACCATTTGAGATGGGGAGGCCCTGTACCAATTTCTTGTTTAAAATAAAATTTAGGATCAAACTTCAAGGAGTGACCAAAGGATCAAGCGCAGAAATAATACAGAAACAGAACTATGGCAGAAAGATGTGTATACGGCCCTTTCTGTGGTCCAACTTTGTAATTCTTGGTGTGGTGGGGGTCCCGCGTTGTCCTACTGTGCTTATTATCAATGCTGGCCAAATTTGGAAATTCCTTTTAGGAAGAAAAGGCACAACAGAAATACTTTTACTTAAATAAACAACACCATGAAGCTAACACCTGATCAGTGGAGCTGGTCCACTATGGTCCTTCCAAGGAGAATGTTAAGAATTATTTTAACACATAAAGGTAAAGGTAAAGGGACCCCTGACCATTAGGTCCAGTCGTGACCGACCCTGGGGTTGCGGTGCTGGGGTTGCGGCGTACAGCTTCTGGGTCATGTGGCCAGCATGACTAAGCTGCTTCTGGCAAACCAGAGCAGCGCACGGAAACACCGTTTACCTTCCCACCGGAGCGGTACCTATTTATCTGCTTGCACTTTGGCGTGCTTTCGAACTGCTAGGTTGGCAGGAGCTGGGACCGAGCAACGGGAGCTCACCCCGTTGCGGGGATTCGAATCGCCAACCTTCTGATCAGCAAGTCCTAGGCTCTGTGGTTTAACCCACAGCGCCACCTGTGTCCCTATTTTAACACATACATACACCAAATCTCAAAGCCGCATACTCTTTCCTGTTCCCCACACATTTTATACTTCTATTTGAACCCAGGGAAGCTCTGCAAACATTTTTGGCATTCAGTTCCTTGCAGCACTCAAACAACCCTATTCTAAAAACATAGCTATGGCAAAGGGGCCCCTCCAGTGTGTCACTAAGCAGAAAAACCTCGTGACTAATTGGACTGCCCTTCATAGGGACTGCCCTATGGAGGTTTCCACTCCATCCATTGTTATGAGGGCTAACCAACATTGACAGTATTGTATCAGCCTAGGAAGGGCTGCCTTGAAGCATGCTCAGAGTTGTTGTCTTGAAAGTCATAGCCCAGATCACATTCTTTGTAGCTAGCAGGAAAAGGGTGTGGTTGCTAGTTTAAGTAGGTTGCTTATTATTAATATTTATTGAGACAGGTGTCATGAGTTTGCAAGGAGGAGTTGGTGGTGAGACTTAAAACCCTTAGGCTGCATCACACCCTTAGGGGAGAATATTGCCTGCAAATTGTTTTACTCAGTAAGCCAACGGTCAATGGCCGCCTTGTCTTCATAGCTTTTTTAAAAAAACAACAAGCACACCAGATCAACTGGCTCATCGTGCGCTGTTGGGAACATTATTCTGGTATCCTTTTAATGAAAGGGGTAGCCAGCTAGCCATGGTTTACAGCAGAAATGTATTATTCCATAAGCTTTCATGGATTACCAAGAATGATGCATCTGATGAAGAGAACTTTACCTCCCAAGAACTTGTGCCATAAAAAAAATAGTTTTAAAGGTGAAAGTGCTGTTCTTTTTGATGTTCTGCTAAAATTGCACTATAGTCTACAGAGTTATTGTGAGGGGGAGAAGACTATAAAACACTCTGACAAACTTAAAATGCAAGTAGGTACAAGATGCAGGATGGGTAAGTTGAGAGCCTATACGTAGTACAGCATCATGAATTGTACCTGGCCTGCAAAACCCATCCATGCAACCTTGCCCTAGCAGACAGCCACCCTTTAGATTGTCCCGTGACCAACATATAAAGTCCTATGCTTATAGACTTGCATACCCTGATTTTTAGGCTGGACTATGAAAGATTCTTGTATGCAGCAAAAAAATAAAATGAAAAGAAGCGTTAAAGACTTAAACATTTATGACTGCATAGTCTTTTGTGGACTATAGTGCACTTCATCAGGACTTATTGTGCATCAGAGCTTACTGTTTTGCTCTGGGCATCAACGTTGGGATGTCTCACTAGCTTTCTGGTGCTCAGATAATAACACATAATAGTATTATATCTTGAAAGTGTACATCATTGCACATCTAAGAGCCAAGTGCTGAGAGTTAGCATAGGGAAGTTTCCCCTTCCTTTCTCATACAAATAAATCACACCTGACAAGAATAATCTATAGCCAAGTCTGAATGTTCAACTATTATGAGCTTGGGGGGTTTTTTTGAGGCAAAAAGAAAGAGAGATAATGAATGGCTATGAACTTGGGAAACTTTGCTTTATGAAAATGCTCATGAACAAGACCAAACAGGAAACTTAAAGAGCTTATGAACTTTTTGAATGAAAAATAATTGTTTATATTAAAGTAGGGAGGGGGAAATATTGAGGATTTTATGTCTGACAGGAGGCTTATCGTTTATCCATCTTCTGAAAGGCTGCTTGATTCCAAAGTGTGTTTTGAAAATTCTATGTTAAATAGAAGTTTACACTAATACATCAGCTAATTACATATAGACATTTGACATGGTGATGTGGGGGGAATGAACTCCTTGGTCTAAAAGATAGGAATGAATGGGTCTACTTGTTATTTGTTTGCCCGAGCTTCTCGGAATGTGACAAAACTAACATTTTGCATGGTCTGTTGAGTTTAGGTCTATGGTTATAAGGTGTTTTTTAAATCACATGACTTGCTGTGTGTTTAGCAGCAGCAGATTCACAAGTGGGGCAAAGAAGCTTGGGCTAAATGGCTTGTGCAGTCCCCCCCCTTTAAACACCAGCACTCCATTTGCACTCAGGTAAGGTGAAAAGGTAAAGCTTTATTGTCATTCTTTTTTCATTACAGGGATAATAAGCCTTCTCATAAACAATTTGAAGCAAATGATTTTTGGCTCCCAGTCAGAGCTGAGATGCCTAAGGACATCCATTTGCACAAGTAGAAAAAGACACTCTGCCATTTCCAGGAGTAATATAGTCCATAAACCCCTTTTCATTGCTAGTTAACCATGAATTTGTTTCTTTTTAAAAAAAAAAACACTTTACATGCTTTCTGTGACAGATTTATTGTTGTTCTCATAATTCCCATTCAACAGGTCAAGATGCTTAAAATCGAGTAGGGTGGGGGACATTGCATACAGGCATCTGCTGAAGACCAGGTTGTGGTTACAATTCAAAAAGATCAGCGGCAGAGGTCAAAACTATTTTTGGCACTATTTTGCCCATTCCTTTAGAGCCAAGAGTTTACAGTCTATTATTCTACACAATGGAGAACCAAGCATAGGCTGTACAAAAGGACCCTGTAGTGATTATGCTACGATAACTTACTATATAATAATGTATTTTCAAAGATGGTGCATCAGTTTCAGTGGCACATATGGAGACACCGATATCAAAGAATATTAAAGATACAGTGGTACCTCAGTTTACAAGCAGTCCTGTTTATGAACGATTCGGTTTAACCAGAAGTAGTGTCCCGGTTTGCGAACTTTACCTCAGTCTAAGAATAGAAGCCAAACGGTGGAAGGGCACCAGCGGCAGGAGGCCTCATTAGGGAAAGCGTACTTCGGTTTAAGATTGGATTTGGTTTAAGAACGGACTTCAGGAATGGATTAAGTTCGTAAACCAAGGTACCACTGTATTATGTTTTTACTGCTGGAGGCACCTTACAGTTTGACCTCATTCACAGCACTGGTTATGAACTATAAAGCCCTATGTAGCTTAGATCTAAGCTATCTGAAAGACTGTATTTCCTCATATGAACCTGCCCAGATTCTGAGATCTTCAGAAGAGGCCCTTCTGTCAGCCCCACCACCCTCACAGGCATACTTGTGGTAGAGGGCCTTCTCAGTGGCTGCTTCCAGACTTCCCAAGAGAAATTAGATTGGCTGCCTCCCTGTGGTCCTTCTGGCAGCAGATGAAGACCTGCTTGTTCCAACAGGCTTTGGGGAACTGACTACTTTTAATGAGGGGGCTGGTGCCGTTGTGATTGCCTGTCTATTTTCAATAGATGCTGAAGTGTACGTGGATTCCCATGAGGCAAGACACAGTGATAACAGCAAGAACCTTTACTGAGCTAACAGAACTGGACAACAGGGGCAAAGCAACTGGTTATATACATTTCTGAAGGCCTGAACCACTCCCACTCCCACTGTGATTGGCTGTCTAAACTTCCAAGCTGCGAATCATAACTCAGAGTTTAAGGGGCAAAGGCCCAAATCCTGAAATGTTCTGTGATTGGATATCATGTAGCGAATCAGAACACAGGGGCTCAGAATCTTTAGTCCAGACTCAAGCTCAGGCAAACACAGACCACAGAATACATAACAGATATTAGAGAGAAAGAGAGAGATTTTAATTCTATTAATGTTTAATTTTAAAAAATAATAATCCTCCTATGCTTTTAGCTGTTCTTATTTTATCTGTAAGCTGCCTTGAGTCCCTGTCAAGGGAAAAGGCAGGATTTTAATATTATTATTAATAATAATAAACAGTCTTCTATCTGACAAGGCCTATGTACATGCACTTACTCAATCCTTAAGAAATTTAAACTCATGGCAGGCACACACCAGAATCCTGGGAAGCTGTTTGTACCAACATCATTCTAATTTAAATCTTGCTTTTTCTAGATCTTTATCAGAATAGTGGTAATAGTTCTGGTACCATTGCTATCACTACTTTGGTCTTATAATCTGTAATGGTGCTGAGTGTGGCACTGCAGAGTCTGGACGGTGTTCGGGCAGGACACTGGCAGATTTGGGGTTGTGTGTTTGCACCAATGAGAACGCCAGCATCAACGCAGCTCTCCTTAACTGCCTGACCTCCACCCCAGCCCTGTTCAGGTAAACAGCAGTGAACCTGGTGCCAGGAGAGCGGCTCTGCTCTTCCACATACTCTGACTGCAATTAATTCCTACATGCGGATAATATGATAGCACAACAGGTTGCCATACATGCCCTCTATTCCTCCCCCATATTACTTGTGGTTCATCAGAACAGTAAGCATCCTGGAAAAAATGTGTCAAGTGGGGTTCTGATGTCAACCCCCCCCCTTTCCACAATCATCATATCATCCAAAGTCCTGGCATAAAGAACGCCAGAACATAGCCCTTGCCAGTGTGCAAAACCCACCTTATCTCCTCGCACATACATGCTCCCGGGCATGACTAAATATTTTCCTCCACTAGGAAACAATGGCCGGGGTGGGGTGGGGTGGGGTGAATCATTTAAAAGCAGGAAATGGACAGAGGAGCACAAGATCATTTCTCTGTCCTCACTTCCACTTTGCCAGTTTGAGCCTTCATATTTCAGCCCTCCCCTCCCTTTAGAAATAATTTTGAATGGTCTATTATTAAAATGTTGGGTGGGCATCTTTAGAGGCTTAGCGCTTTTCTTCAGTCATGGAATCGTCTAGAAGGCTGTGTGAGGCCGCAGCTGGGACAGGAAGTATCAGCACCTTACCTGACCTGACTCTTCTGAGGGCAGCTTCTCACAGCTGGCAAGAGTCTGAGATTAAGGCTAAGCTCCTTAAAAGCATTTCTTGTTTGTTGTAATTCTCATATTATGCATTGCTCCACTTGCTTTCTGTCGAAGGGAAAGTAGAATAGTTAGGGAAATTGCCTCTCAAGCCCTTCTAAGTTAAATGTCAATCCCGTACTGTACAATACAATCCAGAGTGGTGTATTCTCCCCATAGAGTATTAAAATACTTCTGCTTCCCTGCACAACCTAAGGTTAAGTTGAATATGTGGAGGAGTAAATCTGTACCCACGGCAATATGGCAATAGAAACTTGATTATCTGCACACAGCTATTCATAGGAAGGCCCATCATGGGTTATAACCAGACTAGAAAGAGTCCTAAAACTAATTGTGTATAATCACCATAGCATTCAGAAATGCTTAAGAGTGGTCTTCTGATTCTTGCACTATAAATGAACCTGAAGCATCCCTCCTAATTCTTCACCTTGGGTAAACAGGTATTAATAGAAATGGGAAGTGTTGCCTCTGAACTTCCACAACAGGCTTTATGTTCTGTCCAGTAGCAACATGCAAATGTGATTCTAATTCCTAAAAAAACCTGTTGGCTCTAAATAATAAAATAAAATAAAAACTGAATGAATAAATATCCTCCCTTTGAGGACTTGCAGCTGAAATATTCAAATCACTTGAAATCATTATTCAAAAACTGCACAATGAAGGTGCCCAAAACATCTCCGTGGGGAGGGAATTCCACAGTGTAGGGTATGATGACTGCAGCTAAAAACAAAATGGCATTGTGTCCAGCTCTCTTGCCTTTGTACAGTATGCTACATTTCAGCCATGCAAAACCAGGGGGTTCTATCTACAGCTCTCCAAGCAAGCAAGAGGTAATATAGCACATGACAACAATATTTTCCAGCTTGGCAGAAGCGCCTGAAGAGGGCGGATGGCAAGGCCTGTGAGGCATAGAAGCCAACTCCTAGGGCCAAGGGGGCTTCATGCCCCCCATAAAACATTTGAGGGGCTGTCCCCCCCCCCCAGTTGATGGGCATTGCCATTCAAATGGTGTACATGCACCACATCATGTGATTGATTATGCAGGCCGGGGCTTACCTGAGCCCCCCAGTATCTTATTCAAGTTGGCACCCTTGCCATGAGGGATATACCCCACAGAAAGTCCCAATGGCTTGACAGAGAGGCCCATGGAGGACTTTCCATACTTGAGCTTCCCCACCACTGTTTAACAAGCCTGTTCGTGGTTTAAATCCCCTTTAAAGAGGCAGTGTCCATTTTGGTTGAGAAAGTGTTTTTTTTTCTTCAGGAAAGCAAGAACTACTGGTAGGTGTCTCAAGGAAGAAGTAATGGAATTCCATGAAGAAAAGCTCTGCACAATGGTAGCATTTCAGCCTGGGCAGGCGGGCGGGGGCGGGACTGGTGTGGGGAAGGAGCCTCAGTTTCTTCTGGGCTCACAGAGGCCACACAAAGTGGTAAAGATTACATTACATTTTTGGCCTAATTAAAACTTCATTCCATAGTTTGAGGAAACCTCTTGAGAACATTTGCAGGTTTTAAGTAAAAGAGCTTTGCTGGCCTCCATGTGTTAACTCAAATGCTAGTGCGAGAAATTATAGCTGCAGTTCTGCGGGAGAAAGCTAACATTGCAGTCTGCAGTTTTTTTGCACCTTATCCAGTGTCCTGTTTTATTAGTTAGATGATATGTTTATCTGCAACTGCTGCTGAGAAATGTGTGTGCCCCCCACCCTCTCTTCCTTCCCATCCCACCCACATGCTCCACTTCTCCTTCTCTGCAGTCTGTCATATTTCATGTTCTGTTGAGGTGTCCATTTTTCACTCAAACCCACCAAACATATTTTATGACAACCATAAAACAAAGAGGTTTTATGTGGGTAAAAGAGCTGAGTTAAGCAGGGAAGGTGAAGAAACGGCGCCAGGGTAGAATTCTTTTGTGTTACCTTCCTTGATATGGGTAGCCTGGATAATAAATGGATTGGTGGTCTTCCCACTGCCTGTGGCGATTAGCTTTAGCACTCTTCACATGATGATCACATGATCCCCCCCCCCCGCAGCTCCCTGTTGCCCCCTGCCACCATATGCTATGGAGGGTTGGATCTTCCAGAAAAGCATGGGAATCGTTCTGAGGGAATGATGGAGCAGCAATATTAAATTCCTTCCTTTGCATCAGTGACAGCCTTTACTGGATTGAGGACCTTTCATGACCACAAGAGTGCTTCCGTTCATTTTTCTCACATATTGTACTGATTTTTAGGAGAGCTCCTAATGAAAGTGGGGGGATGCAGGTGGTGCTGTGGATTAAATCACAGAGCCTAGGACTTGCCAATCAGAAGGTCAGCGGTTCGAATCCCCACGATGGGGTGAGCTCCCATTGCTGCTCCTGCCAACCTAGCAGTTCGAAAGCACGCCAAAGTGCAAGTAGATAAATAGGTACCACTCCAGTGGGAAGGTAAACGGCATTTCTGTGTGCTGCTCTGGTTCACCAGAAGCAGCTTAGTCATGCTGGCCACATGACCCAGAAGCTGTACGCCAGCTCCCTCAGCCAATAAAGTGAGATGAACACCGCAACCCCTGAGTCGTCTGTGACTGGACTTAACTGTCAGGGGTCCTTTACCTTTACCTAATGAAAGTGGCTGGCTTTGATCCAAAGGGGCCTTGGGCATCGGAGAAAACTGCCTGCTCATTTCTGTGTTTGAGAAGTCTTCCCTCTTTCTTCCCATGTGATTTTTTTCACACTGTCCTGATATGGAAAACATCCACATGGACAAGCAACCAGGCTATGCATTATCTGAACCTATTTTCACTAAACAGATGATATCCCAGTAATACTACAAGTTGATTCATTATTGTTCTTTTTTAGTGTTAAAGTTATAATTGACAATACCTAAGGCTGTATATTGTCTCCCTGCTTATTTAACTTATATGCAGAATTCATCATGCGAAAGGCTGGGCTGGATGAATCTGAAGCCGGAATTAAGATTGCTGGAAGAAATATCAACAACCTCAGATATGCAGATGACACAACCTTGATGGCAGAAAGTGAGGAGGAATTAAAGAACCTTTTATTGAGGGTGAAAGAGGAGAGCGCAAAATATGGTCTGAAGCTCAACATCAAAAAAACGAAGATCATGGCCACTGGTCCCATCACCTCCTGGCAAATAGAAGGGGAAGAAATGGAGGCAGTAAGAGATTTTACTTTCTTGGGCTCCATGATCACTGCAGATGGTGACAGCAGTCACGAAATTAAAAGACGCCTGCTTCTTGGGAGAAAAGCAATGACAAACCTAGACAGCATCTTAAAAAGTAGATACATCACCTTGCCAACAAAGGTCCGTATAGTAAAAGCCATGGTTTTCCCAGTAGTGATGTATGGAAGTGAGAGCTGGACCATCAAGAAGGCTGATCGCCGAAGAATTGATGCTTTTGAATTATGGTGCTGGAGGAGACTCTTGAGAGTCCCATGGACTGCAAGAAGATCAAACGTATCCATTCTTAAGGAAATCAGCCCTGAGTGCTCACTGGAAGGACAGATCGTGAAGCTGATGCTCCAATACTTTGGCCACCTCATGAGAAGAAAGACTCCCTGGAAAAGACCCTGATGTTGGGAAAGATGGAGGACACAAGGAGAAGGGGATGACAGAGGATGAGATGGTTGGATGGTGTTCTTGAAGCTACCAGCATGAGTTTGATCAAACTGCGGGAGGCAGTGGAGGACAGAAGTGCCTGGCGTGCTCTGGTCCATGGGGTCATGAAGAGTCGGACACGACTAAACGACTAAACAACAACAACAACAAATTCTTTCTTTCTTTTCAGTACATACATCCAACACTGGAACTATGCAAAATACATTCTCTGGGGCAAATGATGTTAGTAGGATCTAGCATGCTGTGTTCCTACTGCAACATTGCTGCTAATTTATTGCATATATCTGCTAATTCCCTGTTGGTGAGAGGAACACTTTTGGTCATGCTCCTAGTGCTATCAGCTTTCAACTTTTGATGCCCAAAATATTGCTCCCCTGTTGAGATCTTGGAATGCAACCAGAAAAGGCAAAGTGAAGTTCAAGGAGAGAAACAACCACAGCAAGCCACAGCAGAGGCTGGGGAGAATTTGGCAAGTCATGCATGGATGGAGCATGACAAAATTGGGCTCATCGGCTAAGCTTGCCTGATGCTAGAATAATAGCCAAAACAGAAAAAGAACACAGCTGATCCTATCTTTATTAAAGCATAGTAGTGTGCTAGCTATTGGGAAACTTTCTCACCATTCTAAGCTGATATCATAAAGAATAACTTGTTTAGTTGATTGACAATAGCATTCCTCTTCAATCATTCAACCCAAGATTTTCCAGAAGCTTAAAAATATCGAGAACATTTTTTAAAAAAAACCCCAAGACATTGATTTTTATCAGTATCAATCATGCAACTTACCTCTCAGCTTATCATGGTTCAATATTTTTTAAAACTCCCTCAGTTGTAGAGGAAAATGAACATAAGCCATTAATTGCTCCACTGACATTTATATAACACTGATTTTATTTCCTTGGTCTGAGATAGCACAAAGACCTCTCAGTAGATTCAGATCCTTGTAATGGATTATGATTACATTATCTATTTCTGTTATGGTAAGTGGAATACTTAGGTTGAAATTTATGATGTAGTCGTATAATGTAAGCTTGCCCCATAAACAAAATTAGCTTACTAATCCAGGTTTCGATTCCTGTAGATGTTTATGCAGGACTTGGTTTGTTCTGGTGAAAGCCCAACTTATTTTAATAGGAGCAAAGCTCATTAGGCACACTGAGTTTGAAAGATCAAGTCCTTTGTGGTGTCATTGTCATCGTTATTTATACCCAAACCATCATTTTTGTTCATGTTTGCATTTCCTAATGACTCCTATTAATGTGATGTTTGGTTTTGATCTACATATCAAAGCCTCCAGGCAGCTTAAACTCTGATTTTGTTTCTTTTAATCAATCACTACCCACTTAATGCTACAGAATGTGGTGTCTGTTTTTTATTGTTTTTGACAGGCAGATTGGAGCAAATTAGTACCGGGTTTTAAACTATTCAGATAACTGGACTATTATTAGAGAAAAGCTTCCCCCCATTTCTTTTCATTGCACTTGCAGTTTTACAATGCAAAATGTAAATTGCAAGTGTGTGTGTGTTTTATTGAATAGACAGGTGTGGAAAAGTCATCACAGGTCAAACAACACCACAGACAGACAACCTTCACATACCCAGAAATACAATGCAACTCAATGGAAACAAGATCAGACATTAACAGCTTGGGCACATTTTCACGCTTGTCCCGTGGATGCTATTGGAAACAAACCATAGAGTCATAGAGCTGGACAGCACCATGAATAGTTTTCACAAACTATACACATATACCAATATGATGGGGATGAAACACACGCACACCTACCCACACACTGGAAGTACAAGATGGGTAGTTTTGCTGCTTGCTGTGAGAGTTTATTGCCCCCAATACGCTCTGCTTGCATTCCTCTTATGTAAAGGCATAAATCTCAATGCTCTCGTAGGCTGCATTCAAACGGCAGCTTATTCCATTTTCACGACATTTCTCTGTTAACTTACACATTTTATTTGAGCCTTAAAGGTAAAGGTACCCCTGCCCGTACGGGCCAGTCTTGCCAGACTCTAGGGTTGTGTGCTCATCTCACTCTATAGGCCGGGGGCCAGCGCTGTCCGCAGACACTTCCGGGTCACGTGGCCAGCGTGACAAGCTGCATCTGGCGAGCCAGCGCAGCACACGGAACGCCGTTTACCTTCCCACTGGTAAGCGGTCCCTATTTATCTACTTGCACCCGAAGGTGCTTTCGAACTGCTAGGTTGGCAGGCGCTGGGACCGAACGACGGGAGCGCACCCTGCTGTGGGGATTCGAACCACCGACCATGCGATCGGCAAGTCCTAGGCGCTGAGGTTTTACCCACAGCGCCACCCGCGTCCTTTATTTGAGCCTTAACATGATATAAAAGCTACCTCTTCAATGATTGTGGGATATAGTGGAAAAATCGTAGAATATAGTGCAAGCTCATTATTTGCAAATGGATGGTTTTTTTCCTGGAAGCAAATAACACAGAAATAAATACTAAATAAGCTCTCCATTGGCTCTGCTGAGACAGGCCATCTCTGCCAGGTCTCCATTTCATCAGGCTGTCTCAGTGGGAGAGAGGAAGCAGGCCTCATCACATTGGCTTTGATGGAGGCCCAGTTTCATCATGCACCTGCTGCTTCTGCACTATGCCATCTGGACAATATAGGAACAACTGTCTAGAAACTGGTGCCTGAGATTTGAGTTCTATTTTCCTGTTCCCTTGTCCCCTTTCTCTTGTATGTTTGTTGATTTGAATATAAGCCTGCAGTTAGGGAGTGTCTTCCTTTGATTTCACATAAGCCGCTCTGGAAGCATTTTTGGCTGAAGAGTGGGGTACAAATGCTCCAAATAAATACAATAAATATGGTACATTTCCCTTTAGTTCCAGAAGTGTCTTTTATGTCTTGTGAAAATTAAAATATAATGGAAGAGGGGAAAGTTATGAATTATTTATTCATTTATACATACATAGATACCCCAGCCACTCTGGGCGGCTCCCAACAGAATATTAAAGGTAAAGGTAAAGGGACCTCTGACCATTAGGTCCAGTCGTGACAGACTCTGGGATTGCGGCGCTCAACTCGCTTTATTGGCCGAGGGAGCCGGCGTACAGCTTCCGGGTCATGTGGCCAGCATGACTAAGCCACTTCTGGCAAACCAGAGCAGCGCACGGAAACACCGTTTACCTTCCCGCCAGAGCGGTACCTATTTATCTACTTGCACTTTGACATGCTTTCAAACTGGTAGATTGGCAGGAGCAGGGACCGAGCAACGGGAGCTCACCCCTTTGCGGGGATTTGAACCGCCGACCTTCGGATCGGCAAGTCCGATCTGTGGTTTAACCCACAGCGCCACCCGCGTCCCGAACAGAATATTAAAACACAATAAAACATCAGACATTAAAAACGTCCCTAAACAGGGCTGCCTTCAGATGTTGGTAGTTGTTTTTTTTCTTTAACATCTGGTGGGAGGGTGTCCCACAGGGCAGACGGCACTACCGAGAAGGCCCTCTGCGTGGTTCCCTGTAACCTCACTTCTGGTAGTGAGGGAACAGCCAGAAGGCCCTCAGAGCTGGACCTCAGTGCCTGGGTAGAACGATGGGGGTGGTGACGCTCCTTCAGGTATAAGCTGCCCCGTGACTGCAACCATTATTTCCAAAGGAACAAAACCCTGTAACACTACCTCTGCATTTGGGCAAGTTGGAAGCACTTTTCAGTAGGAAGCAAGCGATTCATGAGGAAGTATACTTGAAACAGACCTCTTTTTTTCTTCTCATTTTCGGTGGACGGCAAATTACTTTCATGGGGGTACATTATGTGGCCTACAGTTGTCTGATAGCTGCTGCTTCTGTGCTCAAAGTCAAACATATACATATATGTACTATGAGCACATTAAAATGAGAGAGTTGAACAATATTTCACTAAAGCTTGGCAAAGGAAAATGCCTCAATTCCTTTGGAGAAAAGATGCAAATGTTTCTCTTTATAACGTGGCATGTTTGGATGCACAGCACTCAAAAACATAAAAGAAATTATAGCTGAGCTTAATTTGTCTTTAGTATCTTTATGTATCTTAGTCAGAAATGAGCCTGATGTTTAGTGAATGCTGTACAGTGAGGGCAGATTTCACGTTTGCAATAGCCCAGGCCTGCAATTTGGCCCCCACTGTACATCTGCGGCATATGCAAAGCAGAAGGCATTATAATTCATTATCATTATTATACTTTTTAAGAGTCAAAAAGAAGCAGAGAATGCCTGATAATGTACAGGGAACAAGTTTAAGCTGTTTACTGAAATGCTGTGAAATCTACTATTTTGGTATTCCAAACCCATGTCAGATGCTAAT